ATCAGTCCTCGTCTCTGTTTTTCTGTTATTGATCCCCGTCTCCGTTGTCTTGTTGTCAGTTCTTCTGTTATCGGTCCTTGTCCTGTTATTTTGTTATCGGTCGTCGTCTCTGTTAGCTTGTTGTCAGTTCTTGTCTCCGTTCTTCCTTCTGTTATCGGTCGTCGTCGGCCTTGTACTTTCGGTACTTGTTTCCTGCTCCGTTAAGGTCTTTTCTTGTTTCTATCGGTCGACGTATATATGCGCTTGTTGGCAGTACTTCTGTTATCGGTCTCTGTCTCTGTTAGCGGTCCTCGATTCTGTTCGCTTGTTGTCAGTCCTTGTCTCCGTTCTTCCTTCTGTTATCGGTCGTCGTCTTCGGTATTGTACTTCGGTACTTGTTTCCTTCTCCGTTAAGGTCTTTTCTTGTTTCTATCGTTACCGTCATTCTGTGTGTATGTCCTGGTTTTGTCAGTCTTGTAGTGGAGTAGCGGGGGATCGAACTCACGACCCCTTGATTTGTAGGCAGACAGTGTTACCACTGCACCAGGTGCGCCCGCTCTGAATAATAACCATTTTTGAAAAATCCTTTATACATAAAAATACTATTTCAATGGCTAACAAAAGGTGTATTACAATTATATTTTTAACACCTCTACTATGTAGCCAACCCACGTGACTTTTATATATGGTCAAAGAAAATATTACTCCATTTTTTTTTACAAGTAATATTTGTATAAATAACTTTGCTGTTACTTTAAGATATCCTGGAAATTTATTGGAGGGTACCAGGAATGATGTGATAATCTTCTTGTAGAATTTTCTCAAAACCGTGACTGAATTTTCGAGAGCTGCCATGGTATAGCAAACACACGTAGCAATCTCCCGGTTTCAGACATTTTCTGACTCGATGAAAATATGGTGTTGTTATTTGTTGTTTTTGTTTTTAACTTTAACTTCAAATTTCAAATTAAATAGTCACTTATTTTTAAACAAGATGGTAAACTTAAATATGCCCAAATGTCATCAAGAGCAGTTTTGCATGTGGGAGGAATGTATTTTTCAGACTGTAAAAATAAAACAAACAAAAAATTAAGAGACGATATTACCTGATTGGTAATTAAGATGAATAGAAGTAAGTTTTCTTATTTTTATTACTTTTGACATTTAAGTTATTTATCAATTTCAGCTTTGTTTTCTCGAAACAGCCTGACTTTGTCAGAATTGTCAGCAAAAATAAATTGAGGTACCACATGGGGAAAATCTTAAGAAAGTAGTTTTGTCATTGAAAAGTGTGAAATTATATTTTCATAATTTTCACTGTGATAAATCAGTAATCCATTTAAAGGATAAAATAAAAAACTATAAAACGTCATCGTTACTTCCGTAGTAGCACAGCCGGTTAAGTAGCACAGCCGGTTAAGTGATTGACTGATGTATGAGAGGTCTATATTTCGATTCCTATTGTTGCCTTTTTTAAAACCTGTTTGTTGTTGTTGTTTTTTGGTTTTTTTTTTTTGGGGGGGGGGGGGGGGGGTTGGGGGGGCGCAGTATATATTCTAAAACATTTTTTGTCTCGGTTTGTGTTGTGTTTATGGCATTGAAATGACATTTTTTGACATTTCAAAAAAATTTAAATATTTATTTTAAACCAAGTGCAAAATATATGAAAACAATATGAACAACTTGAAAAAATCTTAGCTACAAATAATGTTGAAAATTACGGAACACCTGAAGTGACATTTTCTACATTTTTCTCCCTAAATTGAATTCGATTTTACGGGATAATAATTCCCAATTAGAAATATTATTTCGTTTTAAATATAAAATCTTAATTACAAAATATTGATTCGTTTTTACGAAATATTAATTTGTTATTACGAAATATTTATTCTTTGGTAATATTTATAAACAAAGTTTATTGTTAAATATAAGTCAAGACAAAACATAAAATCTTTTTTTAAATCATTAAAACATTTCAATCTTAGTCTTATACCTTAACGCGCTAGTAAAACAGTACTGTATATAACTGTTAATTGAGCCATTATGCTTATAATCGCTAAATTTGGTGGTCAATCTCATTAAAATCTTATCATATTGAATAATCATTTGATTTTGACAAGAATAATTAATTGCATCATATTGTATCATAGTTTTAATGACCTATTTTAGTATTTTCAAGCGGCCATTTTGAATTGACCTTTTAAAGGTCAAGGTCAATTTTATTTTCTTGGTATCCACCCTCATCGTCTTCAGCATACCCATATTAGGTTAAAACACTCCAGATATTACTTGTACTATAAAATGCCTCTAGCATTCATATTTTCTGAAAATCAGTCCTGTCTAATAAGCAGGCTAAGAGTTAATTAGAAATATTATACACATATTTAAAGCTACATTAAATAAATTTCATAAAAACAGAAATGGCTACATTTTATTAATAAATTGGGTTTCATATCGACTCCAGATTTTATTTTGGTGTCAAGACAACCAAAATAAGTTTTATAAGCATACAAAATGGGCAACCTCATTGTGGCGAAATAGGAAGTACAATAATAATTATACCCCCAAAAACGAAGTTTGGGGGGGTATATAGGAGTCACTCGGTGGTCGGTTGGTTGGTCGGTCGGTCGGTCGGTCGGTCGGTCCAGACGTCCGTTGCATTTTCCTTGTCCGGAGCATAACTTTAAGACTAATGCTTGGAATTCAATATAACTACACACAATGGTCAAGCACATTGAGAGGAAGTGCAGTGCACAAGAACCATAACTCTATCTTGATTAATTACAGAGTTATTGCCCTTTGTTACTTTTCCCTTGTCCGGGGCAATAACTTGAAAAACTACTGGTTGGAATTCAAAAACAACTTCACACAATTGTCAAACACAATAAGAGGAAGTGCAGTGCATAAGAACCATAAACTCTATCTAAAGTAATTACAGAGTTATTGCCTTTGTTGCTTTTCCATTGCTTTTTTTTTGTCCGTTGCATTTACCTTGTCCGGAGCATACTTGAAGACTAATGTTTGGAATTCAATATAACTACATACAATGGTCAAGCACATTGAGAGGAAGTGCAGTGCACAAGGAAAAACATAACTCTATCTTGACTAATTACAGAGTTATTACCCTTTGTTACTTTTCCTTGTCCGGGGGCATTTAACTTGAAAACTACTGGTTGGAATTCAAAACAATTTCACACAGTTGTCAAACACAATAAGGGGAAGTGCAGTGCACAAGAACCATAACTCTATTTAAAGTAATTACAGAGTTATTGCCCTTTGTTACTTTTCCATTTTTTTGGCCGGAGCATAACTTGAATTTTGACTAATGGTTGGAATTCAATATACTTCATACAATGGTCAAGCACATTGAGAGGAAGTGCAGTGCACAAGAACCCATAACTCCATCTTGACTAATTACAGAGTTACTGCCCTTTGTTAATTTTCCTTGTCCAGAGCATGACTTGAAACGAACTGGTTGGAATTCAAAACAACTTCATACAATGCTCAAGCACAATAAGGGAAGTGCAGTGCACAAGAACCATAAATCCAGCTTGACTAATTACAGAGTTATTGCCCTTTGTTACTTTTCCATTGCTTTTTTGTCCGGAGCATAACTTGAAGACTAATGGTTGGAATTCAATATAACTTCATACAATGGTCAAGCACATTGAGAGGAAGTGCAGTGCACAAGAACCATAACTCCATCTTGACTAATTACAGAGTTATTGCCCTTTGTTACTTTTCCTTGTCCAGAGCCTAACTTGAAAACTACTGTTTGGAATTCAGTACAACTTCATTTCACAGTCGTCAAGGACATTAAAAGGAAGTACAGTGCACAAGAGCCATAACTCCATTTTGACAAAATACAGAGTTACTGCCCTTCGATACTTTTTCCTTGTCCTGAGCATAACTTAAAACGTACTGGTTGGAATTCAAAACAACTTCATACAATGTTCAAGCACAAAAGAGGAAGTGCAGTGCACAAGAACTATAACTCTATCTTCAGTTTTTATAGAGTTTTTGCCCTTTGTTCCTTTTCTTTGTCTTTCTGGACTTATTACAGAGTAATTCAATTAAACTTTGTCAATGGCCAACCACATTGAAAGGAAATGCAACATACAAGAACCACAAATATCTTTAATTGCCAACAACCATAACTCTATATTTCAATTCTTTTACAAGGTATTCTGTTACTAGTAACATCCTCATTTCCGAAGCAGTCTTGTGGGGGTATTAATCACATTTAGTGATAGTTCTAGTTATTTCTGTTTGCATGAGAAACTCCGCCCTCGGTTCATCCGTACATCAATATTAAATCAACAAACATGACTATGTGCAGCAATTCTAATCTAACAGTATATTTCCGCATTGTAACTGATGTTTTCATACAAATTTAATCCTTTTTATGAGATGATTACTTTTTTCTGAACCACAGGCCTAGTGCACCGTGAAGCTAAAACTTTTAAAGTGTGTTTACACAAGAAAATCTCATATTTACTGTGTTCCGGATAGCAACTATAACAATGTGACGTAGCGCATACACAAGCAGATTATTGTCATTATTTGCATGTTAAAATTCGTATACGAACTTTAGTGTTACCGTGGGGTTTTCCGTTTAAAATCCTAATTTATGAACAATATTTGATGATTTACAACATAACTGTTAAAAAGGTTTATTAAACTGTATAATGCTTGTTTTTTAGGCCGACGGCAAAATATTTTTACATATTTATTTAATGTAACTTTAAATCTATGAAGCAAAGAATATGAATGAATTATAATAGTAATATATATCCAGATTGGAAACATAAAAAAATGGTCTTTATTTAGAGATGATCTTTCCAGGCAGGTATGTTTGCCAAAAATTGTATATGTGACATAGTTATCATTTAGTGACAGGGTTTCTCAATGTGAACCATATTTGGATGTGGTCATTTCTGAAGGTGTACATGTAATCTTTAACAGCTAGTAAAAATTGGTTTGAAAAAAGAGGTATTTAATGTATTTATTTTTTATTTCAGTCTCCCATGTCACCTTACCCCCCAGGTGGGGGTATGTCACCCGGAGGGATGCCGATGCATAATTCTCCGTACATGAATCCTACACTCCAAGCCCCTATGGGTCAACACAGTCCTGCGATTAGTAGCCCTGGATTGTTACAACCCCCTGTGGGTACACCGAATCTCAGCCCAAGACCCAACTCTACTGGTGAATCTTTTTATTATATATGATCTTAATCTTTCCAATTTTAATCATGATTTGATTGATCGTATTCAATAAACAGTGAACCTTAAAAAAAACAACATAAGTTTCAATTGATCTATAATATATGTTGGAAGTATATTGATCAGAATTTAACTTTTTATCTTGGTTTGAACATTATTCATTTATTTAAGCTCGATTGGGAAACAAGTTCTTGCAACATATATCAATCACTTTCGAGTCCGCTTCCTGGTACTAACCAGTAGTGGTGTCATATGAAGAAACATGGTCGTGTCTTGAGAAGGGCTCAAACCTATGATCTCTGGGGGTTGAGAGGCAGACACCTTAACCACTAGGCCACCACTCCCTCTAAACTTTTTATCTTGACCAGTTGTAAATCATGACCACTAGAGAGGTAAGGTCTGACTGGTAGATATAATATGTTACTCTCTGTCATATTATTACCCATGTTTGGATTAAACACTTGAATATTTTTAAAAGGAAGTCACCCAAATCACAAAGCCAGTGTCTGATTTCTATGTTAGAGTTCTTATAAAAGTTATGAAGCATAATGCAAATTAAAATGAATTTATTGCCCATTTATATTTATTTTCATTTTACTTTATAGGAAACATGGTAGATATGAGTCACTCTCCAACGCCAAATGGTTATCACAGAGCTTCACCCTGTTCATCACCCGGTGTTATGGCAACCAAAGGAATGACGAGACAGTCGCCCCCTATACATGGGCGTCCCCCGTCTAGTCACCCAGGACCGCCTCGTCTAATGGTACCAGATGGAAGAAGCAACATGATAAACTCAGAGGTATAACAAATATGATAAACTCAGAGGTAATACAAATATGATAAACTCAGAGGTAATATAAATACAATTAACTTGGAGGTAATACAAATATGATAAACTCTGAGGTAATACAAATATTAGTATATTAAGGAAAATAAGTTAAAAAAAATGAAGGATAGTTTGTCCTCTTAGAGACATGTTTCTGAATGTTTATTAAACAGGGCTAAAAAAATTAAAAATGAAGGATAAAATTGTCCGCTTTGAGACATATATCTCAAGCTGTCAGTTATATTATGTCTCTGCAGTTAAAAATCTTTAATTTTGAATAATTGAGGCAGTCTTCAGGATTGAAACAATGTCAAAAAAGTAATCCAGAGTCCCATGAATTTTGCATAGATTTCATCTTGATAAATTTGAATCTATTTAATAAGAAACAAAACATATTTATGAAAAGAAGGAATGGGATTATTATCAAAATTATGATTTGCCATTATAGGACTGTTGCAAGATTTTTTTTGTTGAATTTTCTAAGAAAAATTTCTATAGTTTAATGAGGCTTTACAGTTAAAGCATATCTGTATACGCACACATGCATATTTTGGTTAAAATGTGCAGTGTTGCATTATTTATAAAATTCATGGAAAGAAGGAAACACATTGAAATTGCAAATTACATGAAAAAAAAGAAACGTTATTTATATAGGACAGCCACAAGAATTTATTTGATGAATATGAAAAGAAATATTGAAATGAAATGTTAAATATTAGAAATTAATTTTTCTTTCATTTAAATTGTAACAATTTTTTTTTTTTTTTTTTTTGGGGGGGGGGATCTTTGAATCTAGTACTTATATTGATATTAAGGCATGAGCTATATATAGTTCCAGAAAGCCCAGTTAGTCAAGTTTCACAACTCTTCCTTCCATTTTGACAAAGTTATGCCTCTTGTAATCTTAGAAAATGTCCTGAAATTTTCATTTTATTTCACTTTAACTTTTTGCACCTATGTGAAGCAAACTTATGTGAAAGACCCCAGTAAGGGTATGAATCTCTTTCAGCCATAGTTTATTGTAACAAAATGTTCATAGACATGTTCTTTTATTGTACACTGTCTAGCACTGCTGAGTTTCATATTTGCCTCGCAGAATAGAAATTTCTCACTAAATGTAGTCTTAATTGGAGAACTTTTGTTATATGACATCTGAGTTCTGTTACTTATTAGATCAATCATCTCCCTCGGGCATTCTGTGACACTGTCAAGGAAATTTCTGTAATGTAAGTGTATATGATATATTGACGGAAATCTTCCGAATATGCTTTCGAGTAGATATGAGACATATATATAAGGTGTCGTAGCATCGACTGTCAGATATTTTCATAGCTTGGCTGCCTGTTGTTGGCAACTGGTCCTATTTCCTTTCTTACCAGTGCAGACTAAGATTGACCAGCACAAACATCCGTGCCATTTGCTGATCATTGTCTGCATTGTAAGCTATCCAGTCAGTACATATTTTGAAATTTTCCCCTAATAATGATGAATGGTTTTGTCCAGATTGAAAGATGGACAAGTGTATGTAAGATAATAATTGGGGTAAATGTTAAGATCATTCTGAGAATTGAACTTGAAAATAAATGAAGAAATTTTTGTGTTCCTTTGAAAATGTAGATGGCTAAATTTGTGTTACCGGTATAATATGGCTTTGTGTGGATTTTATTTTGGAATATTCCATTCTTTATTTAGTAAACTGAAATATTTATAATTTAAAAAAAACTAACAGTATAGAGCCTGGTCAGATTAATATAGCTGTATTCTGATGCATTTGGTAGGTAATTACCACTGCAAGTAGCCAATGGAATAAGGATAGGTCAATTTTGAGAGGGAACTTAATGGAAGTTTTGATAGAGGGGATTGTTTTTAAATTAACATGACATCTTCTTATTATAAAGTTTTATCATTGATCAATAGTGGTATTCAAATTGTAGTCTTCATCATTGGTATTTTGAACTTGTTTGTTCATAAGACATTTATAAGACTTAATTGGAACTAACAGTTTGGTCAAGACTTTTTAAATTTGGTATTTATTGATTTCATGGTAATATGTATATACATGTATATATGCAGGTCAAATTCTTTCAACTGGACATACATCATTTGAATGAGTTTGTCCACTATTAAAGGCCCATCATGTCAAAATTCTATCATTTCTAGTTATCAAAATCTAGTTATTTTTTTGGTGGTCTGTTACAGAATCTGAACAGTGCTTATTGACCTTATCGCTGAACCAATTTTTGCTTTTGGCCATTAGCTTCTCACATGCTCTGAATCTATTTTTAAAATATATATCCCACAGACATTTTTCAAAAACACGTCCAGATTTGTTTTTATGAACAAGTTGAACACAGTTCATTTCATGGTAACATTGAGAGAAACCATAAAGTCTGATGGAAGCCAAATAAAGTCTTATTATCTTCAGAAAATTGCTAATACATAACCTTGGATCTTTAGGTTGACTTTATGAAAACATGAAAATAAAATAACATACTCAGAAATTGCTTCATTAGACAGCAGGACCCCCTGCAGACTTTTAAATTAAACCAATGTGTCTTTCCCATTCAAATTAAACCAATGTGTCTTTCCTATATTTTTGTATCAAGCTTTTTTTTTCATTTAGCTTTTCTGCATTTACGAATGTATCATTGTTGTTGTTTTTTTGCCCATAACATTACCAGACTTAATTCACCATCATGACATGAAGATAACATGTGTTCTGTACCATAATAAACAAAGAAAAAATAATTACCATATATATACATACCTACTGTATGTATTGTAACCCTTATGACCAGCTGGATTTCATAGATGGACTAGTCCAGCTTCCATTTTTGGAACTTTCCATTATCTATTTAGGGGACATCAAGCTAGTCAGCCATCAATTTAGAACCTGACCAGATTACATTGATGGGAAATGTTAATCACTTTTGGTTCCAGCAGGGTAGGTTTATATGAATTTGCTCTGCTTTGGGTTTGGATTTTGGAGCCATCTATTTTATTTTGTTATGAAGACACTAAGACAGAGCGACTGTGGTTCTACTCAGGTGCCTGTTTGTACCTGAAATAATGTACAGAAGGACATTGAGGTCTTCCTCCACCAGTAAAGCTGGAAAGTTGTTATATGACCTTTACTGTGTGATGTAAAAACCCAAAACTAAAAAAGACAGAAAAAAAAGACACTAAGATTGAGCTGGCTGAGAACTTTATTTGGTTTTGACAGACTGTACAGAATGTGTAGACTGACCAGTGGCTTTATTCTGTTGTCAGAAACATACTGTTGTTATAACATGAGAGTTAAAGGTCTCAGAGAGTTGAATGCACATTTGAAGTACAAATCAACATCCAGTCTGAAGTAACAATTATGATTAGCATCTAGAAAAGAGGAAGAGTAAGGGTGAATAAGGACATGAATTGCAAAAGTTCAAATTATGGAAGAAAATATTCATGTACTGTTGTACAGTTCTAATGTTATGGTAGGGGATAAAGGCTATTCATTAACCTAAAACTTGTTTACAATTGAAAACTTAGGTTATAGTGTGGTCTGTCAATAAAGGAGTAAGTGTGTAAACAGACTCTTCATAAAGAAGTTTCAAAATCGTTTTTTCAAATACTCTTCACAAAGAAGGTGGCAACTGTATTTCATTTCCTTCTCACTGAATCTGCCAACATTTCATTTTGAATTACAAATATGCAGAGAAAAGTTAATGTATATATAACTTTATTAATATCCTGTTTAACGTCTGCTGTTACAGATGTAAAGAGAAATTTTTAAAATTGATTTTAAGGTTAGAAAGCTTGAGGCAAACATTTTATAATATACAATATACAAATGTTAATAACCTAATCAAATAAAGAAGAACTTTCAGTAATGAATTGTGATTTTATCTACCCACAATGATGTTATAAATGTATTCTTATGTTAGAAGTAAATTAGGACATTAAGAACGAGAAATTTGACACATACAAACTTAAGAACAACAGCAAAAACCTTGTAAAGTGTAGTCAGAATTATTGGTGCAATGATTTATTTTGACATATCTCGCTCGTAGCGTTACTATTTATAAATAATTGTTACTATTTATAGACTATGATTATTAATGCAGAAGGTTAATGACAACTTGTTTGACAAACGAAACACATAACAATTGTACATACATTTCACCTGTATGTTTAGAGGTCAGTGTTAATAACATTTTAATGAGATATTTTATCCAGATATGAATTTTACATGTGGGAGGACTTAGAATCTCATTCAATCATCAAATGAGATTATGAAATAGTTGGGAGAGTCACTCAAAATTGCTTACTTTGCACCATTGCTTCTTTGTATTGTGGCCAAATTTATATTCAATATTTAATGTTATTTATATGTTAATTTAATGATAGGACAGGTTAACCATGTTTTTAGCTCACCTGTCACAAAGTGACAGGGTGAGCTTTTGTGATCGCTTTTCGTCCGTCGTCCGTCCGTCGTCCGTCCGTCGTCCGTCCGTAAACTTTTACTTTAAATGACATCTCCTCATAAACCACTAAGCCAATTTCATCCAAACTTCACAGGAATGTTCCTTTGGTGGTCACCTTTAAAAATTGTTCTAAGAATTTAATTCCATGCAGAACTCTGGTTGCCATGGCAACCGAAAGAAAAAACTTTAAATATCTTATTTTAAAAAACCATAAGAGCTAGAGCTTCGATATTTGGCATGAAACATCTTCTATTGAGTGTCTACCAAGTTTGTTCAAATAAAAGCCCTGGGGTCAAAATTGGCCCCGCCCCGGGGGGTCATTGATTTTCCCTATATGCATATAGTAAAAACTTAAAAATTCTTCTTTTAAAGTATCCAAAGAGCTAGAGCTAAGATATTTAGCATGAAATATGTTCTAATGGGTGTCTACCAAGTTTGTTCAAATAAAAGCCCTGAGGTCAAAATTGGCCCCGCCCCGGGGGGGTCATTGATTTTCCCTATAAGCATATAGTAAAAACTTAAAAAATCTTCTTTTAAAGAACTCAAAGAGCTATGGCTAAGATATTGAGCATCAAACATGTTCTAATAGGTGTCTACCAAGTTTGTTCAAATAAAAGCCCTGGGGTCAAAATTGGCCCCGCCCCAGGGGGTCATTGATTTTCCCTATATGCATATAGTAAAAACTTAAAAAATCTTCTTTTAAAGAACCAAAAGAGTTAGAGCTAAGATATTTAGCATGAAACATGTTCTAATAAGTGTCTACCAAGTTTGTTCAAATAAAAGCCCTGGGGTCAAAATTGGCCCCGCCCCGGGGGGTCATTGATTTTCCCTATATGCATATAGTAAAAACTTAAAAATTCTTCTTTTAAAGAACTCAAAGAGCTATGGCTAAGATATTTAGCATCAAACATGTTCTAATAAGTGTCTACCAAGTTTGTTCAAATAAAAGCCCTGGGGTCATAATTGGCACCGCCCCGGGGGTCATTGATTTTCCTTATATGTGTATAGCAAAAACTTTAAAAAATCTTCTTTGAAAAAACCCAAATAGCTAGAGTTAAGATATTAAGCATGAAACATCTTTTAGTGAGTGTCTACAAAGTTTGTTCAAATAAAAGACCTGGGGTCAAAATTGGCCCCGCCCCGGGGGTCATTGATTTTCCTTATATGTGTATAGCAAAAACTTAAAAAATCTTCTTTGAAAAAACCCAAATAGCTAGAGTTAAGATATTAAGCATGAAACATCTTTTAGTGGGCCTATATACAGGTGAGCGACCTCAGGGCCATCATGGCCCTCTTGTTGTACTGTTCTATGCTATAAATAACTTATTTACTGTTCTATGCTGTGACTTTTTGTAAAGCATTGGTTTCTGCATAAATCACCTTTAATTTGGTTGTTTATTTTCAGATGCAGCACTCGCCCGGTGTTCCGGCTGTGTCGATCTCAACTCCTAGTATTTCACAAGGGACCGGATATCACTCACCAGTACCGTCATATCACAATAGTATGTTAACAATTTTCTTATATAAGTTCAGAATTAGAGACACAGCTTCTTGATGTGGGGTACAAACAGGACTCTTACTTAAAGCTCCCTGCCACAACTGATTCTAAACATGCCCTCAGTGCAAACCAGGATCAGCCAGCACATTCCTACCATCTGACCATGGTCTGCACTGTTTGCTTTTCAGTTCTTTTTCCCTAAAATTGACGTATGGTTTTGTTTAGATTGAAAGATTGGCAAGTTGATTTAAGATTATCAGACTCTTACAAGTCCCGTAAGTTGAAATATAAAGCAAGCATAAAATTTTTCCTAAAGCTCACATGTTTTTGTGATTCCATAAACTGATACCATTTCATCACACTACCTCACCGTCAACAGATGATGTTTTGTTGCAGTGCAGGCACTGGCTTCACTTCCATTAGGTACTTAAGGGACTGTGAAATCTAAACAAGTTTAAGTATGAGGGCCACATAATTTTGTAATTTTTTTATATTGAAATCCCTCTAATTAACAATGGACACTCCTAGATTCAAAGGAGGACTAGTTCATTACACAATTATAAGTTAAAATTTATATGCATGATGTAATGTCATAAATTTACTTTTTTTGTCATATTATATGGATGACTGTATATAGCTTCAATGTGTGTACAGGAAGTTCAACATTTACACTTTAAAACACATGAATATCACGTATATATATTTATTTACAGGGAGGCTACCCAGTTAAGATTGTCGGCAATAGAATAACATTTTCTTTATGTATTATGCTTACATTTTCTTTTGTTTCAGATGATTATAGTATGAATTCAGGGGAAAGTATGGGGGCTGGGGGCCCAGGGGGCTCAATCCAGCAGAATTATAGTCCCCAACCTAGCCCCCATCATTGGAGTCAAGGGTCACTGACAAGTGGAATCCCCCCAGGTGGGGGAATGCAGCAGATGCAAGGGTATGTGTACTTTGATGTTACTGTTATTTATAGGAAATACTTATTCAGAGATCTTTTCTTTATACCGCTTGCTGTTCTAGTTTGATTCATCTATTCATATAAAAGAGGTCATGTAGATAGACTACTAAATTTAAGATCTGCTATTTTATCTAGACAGTGTCATCATTTACTTAAGTGAATAATACAGATAGCGAGAATATATTTATTATTCAAGACATGTTAAGATGGTCATATATTCAATCATATTTTTTTTTGTATCTGGCACAAAGTCTACCATGTGGGGTGGTGGTGTAGAATGGTTAACACGTCGGACGAGTAATCTAAGGATTGCTGGCTTGGTGGGTCCAAACCCTGTCAGGGGCAAGCCATTGATTCCTTAAGCAAGACACTCATTGCTAAGTACTGTATGTTTTCAGGAATGGATTTGAGGCAGTTTCAATTAGGTTATAGCTTCCAACACTATCAAACTAGAATAAATTCGTATAAACTTAAATCCTGAAAAATAAGAAACCCCACTTATTGACCAGTTTTAGATTTGCAGGAATCAGAAATTTATGTAAATTTCTGAATTGTAGGAACTATTATGATAGCCCTATGCTTTTATTATAGGGCAATGCAAGCTTGCTTATATAAGTGATCAAGGAGATACTATACTATTTTGGACCTTAAATTGAAGGTGTTTGGTATTGAAATCCCTTAATTTTACAATGGGCCATTCCAAAACCCAGGCAGGGAGAGTCTATTACCAGTAAACAGGGGTATAGAATGTTAATTTGAATGTAGTGAAAAGCTCTAAAAGAAAGTCCATGTTTTTTTTGTTTTTTTTTAATAATGAGATTGTCTACTTTGTCACAGACATTGTTAAATTGTGTAAAATAAAACCTTATATTGAATAGAACCTGATATAGGTAATATAATGTTTGTTAATGAAATTGTTGTTTACAACAAGAGTGCTATTTGTGTAACTGCAGTAAAGAAATGGACCCTTTTATTGTAGCAATCTACACACTAATGCAATTGGAAAGGCATATTGAATATTCCTATCCTCATTTACTTCTGGTCATAATTTTACGCGTGGAATATTTATGAGATTTGATTCAATTTCTGTCCCCAGAGACTTATCGAATTTGTCATTGGACACATTTTAACTGGGAGAATTCAGCCATCATCCCACTCATTTGCTAATTTTACATTATATAATACATGAAACAAGTTTCCATTTATTTCTGTGTGAAATCATTTCTATACATCTGATTATGTTTTTTTTTTTTTTGAAGGGGGGTGGGGGGATTATCTTTACAAAGCTAAAATTGTAAGATCAATGATTCCATAATGGTTAATCCTTTTGTTGGCATTATTTATACCCAACTGATTTTGTATAATGGATTTGCCCTGCTTTGAATTTGGAAGAGTCCATCGGTTCTTTTGAGGGATTTCAATATCAAAATGCTACAACCCTTAAACTGCTGAATTTTTGTTATGTATTTGGCCTGCCTTTGAATTTGGAAAAGTGCATTCAAAGTTTAAGGGATTTCCATATCAAAATACGGTTAGTTTAGATCCGGGTCAGACTGCATTAGATGTTACTCGGTCTCACTAATGTTGAAATTGAACAATTATTATAGAATCAAGTGTTAAAGAGATAATTTTTTTGTCACTAAGTGTACATATGAGATAATTTTCTTTTTAAAAATATAAATAAAAGTAAATACAAATTATATTATATCATAGTTGATAAAAGGGAGACAACTGCTGTCACACTGTTTATATTTTAAAGCTTTCTACATTTTTCACCAAGCATATTGAAATATAATTTGAAATTTCATTGAAATAAAGAGAATTTGACATAATGATTTTAAAAATACCTTAAAACTGAAATTTAGCTTTTAAGTTCAAAATTCGCCATCCAATTGTATATTGGTCTGAAACTGGAAAACGTATTGATTTATTTGTTAAAATTTGATTGTGAATATAGTTCATGTATCTTTATATTGCCAAGATTAACATTTATTTATTTTTTGTAACAGGTCGGGCCAGGGCATGGTGAACACAGGTGCTAATCATGTTTCACCATTACTTATAAACACAATGAATCATAGACTTAATATAAAGAGCGAGCCTATATCACCGACACGCGACTCTCACACGCCATCTAATCACCTGAGTTTACGGCCACCATCTCAGAATCAAGGTCATTTATCACCAGGTCATGTTTCTCCGCATCTTTCCCAGTCTCCGACAAATTGTCCATCACCGTCTGCCGTTGCTATGCAGCAGACACAGCAACAGCAGCATGTGGCCGCACAGCAGCATCAAGTACAGCAACAACAACAACAACACTGTGGTGGCGGAATGTCGGACTATGATGGTCCGATGATGAAACGACAGCGAGTAGAAGGATGGACAACCTAGCAGACGAAATATTATTCCTTAGGTTGTAAAAATTAATGGAATTTTTTTTTTAATTACTCGTTTCCAAAGGTTACTGGTAATATGGAGTAGTGACTTTTTGGTAGTGATACGGTAGTGCTAAGATGATGACACGGAAGGTGATAAAACGTGATTTAGACTTTTGTTACGGATAAAGTGAATTTGAGATGCATTGGATCTCTTGTACAGACAAATTGTTGCTGTTTGTAGAATTAGGGCGTAGTCTGGAGAGGCTTGATGCAGATGTACTAAATTGTTGAAACAATTGTTTTGCTACATTTGCAATGAAAAAAGATTCATTATTGTGTTATTATGTTGTTTGTGTAAATTATGACTGCTTTTTGATGATACACAGAATATCACCTTGTTTGTATTAAGCTTACCTCATTAGTTACTTCCCTTTAATAGAGTTGCCATTTAACAAATAAATTTGATCTGTATGATTAAGGAGCTTGATTTACATTGAAGTATAGCAGGCATGAATCTGATCTTAATGATACAGATGCTTTATAAATTTTGATATTTAGCAGACATAAATTTGATCATTATGATTGAGGAGCTTGATTTAGTTACATTGATATTTAGCGGACATAAATTTGATCATTATGATTGAGGAGCTTGATTTATTTACATTGATATTTAGCGGAAATAAATTTGATCCTTATGATATATTTTGAAATTTAGCATAATTATTTAATTTGATTTTAATGATATATCAGCTTTATTTACATTAGAATTGAGCATATTTATAATTGATCTTTATGGTTTAGATGCTTTATTTAATTGAAGTTAACTCTAGCATGGGAACAGATATAGATGTGTCAAAATGATACACATGTATGTCAAAATATTTGCTTTCTCTATTATTTGAGAAAATACATTTTCTTTTTTTTAGAAAAGGGTATAAAATCACAATTATTTTGAAAAAAATCTTATGTTTCTATTATCACATATAAGATTATGAAGTGAATATGAAAATGAAATAGTCACATGAATTATGAAGTGAAAAATTGAAATAATCACATTAATTATGAAGTGAATATGAAAAGTTATGAAGTGAACATGTAATAATAACATATTTATCATGAAAATGAAATAATCATATTCATTATGAAATAAACATGAGAATGAAGTAATCACATATGAATTATGGAACTGTAATTGTCACATATAAATTATAAAGTGAACATGAAAATGAAATTATCAGTTAGATATTATTATATGGTCATGGAACCAAATTCTAAGTCACGATAAATAAGTTAATTTCACCAATATTGCTTCAAACGATAATATGTAAGACATGAACTTCTTCTTTCACATGTATATTAATTCTTGTAACTTAACACAATTCCATTGTCATTTTTTTCTGATATTACTTTTATTTCTGATAAAAAGTTAGTTGGGAAAAAAATGCTTCTGAATTTTCAGAATAAACCAAAAAGAAAGAAATTCTTGTACAGATATCACTAATGCCATGGATGCAAGAATGAAAATGTTTGTAAAACGTTATTTAAGATATTTTATCAATATAATGTAAAAATGTACAGCACATTACGTTTGAATATTGTTAAATCGTACCCTCATGAAAATTCACGATGTTTTATTTTACATAACATTCCTGTTAAGTGTCAAAATATGTTACCTACATTGTGTTATTGGGTAAGATGGATTGGCATTGGGCAAGGTTTAATGATGGAGTGATAATTTATCATTTTGTTGTTATTATACACGTGCCTTGTACTGCACCTAGTGCACTCAGTATTAACGTGATGCCTGTCCCCGATGGTTGCCCATGGTTACATGACGTCTGCTTTTCCTTGTCGAGAAACAATGATTGTTTATAAGATGTTGTTATTTTTTTATTTGATGAAATGTATCAAACGTTTTTAAACAGCATTCTGTAGTACACAGTTGTTAACAAGGTTCTCATTATCACTTGTGGAGAAAAACATTTTCATATTGTTGCGTACAAAATATTATTATAAAATATTACAAAGAATGAAAATGATTTCTTTTCACAAATTTACATAAATATAGCACAATGTAAACACTTTTGAAATGATCGTAATAAAGAATTTTGGAAAGATATTTTTAGCATATTTGCTTAGGTAAGTTTGGAAAATACATTCTGCAGATTGTTTGTTCAACTAATTCTCCATTTTGACATTGTTACTTGTTTGTTTAAGGACCCCTATAAGATGAACCTTGTTTATATTTTCTTTGTTGAAATGTGAAGAGATTAGGCTTTGCCACTAGTATAGAGCCAGGCCAGCCTGGATATCCATGCTGTGTGACCAGGCTATATACTGTTGGCTGAATTATTCTGAATTTTCTTCTGGATATCATCAAAAGTGATAATTGACCTTTTCCATTAAAGAAATTAAGAGATAAAATGTTAACATTTAGATGGGAAATGAAAACAGGGTTCTGCTGTCTAAAATCACTTATTATCAGGAGCAATATTTCTGGCAGGAAAAGTTGATTTCTGTTTCCATGGAAACCTCATATCAACCCCTATGTGCACTTACTGTTTGTTATTGTTAAATTGTTAATGTCTTGTTAGATCATTTAACTCTATATACATACTTTGTTACATGTTCATATATATCTCATACATTTTTAACGACTCAAAAGGTAAAATTTGACCCTCTAGATGTCGAGTGTAAATTAACGGTTTCCGGGTTGAATTAATCACCCAATGGGAGACATAAAATGACCTTTACAGAGTTTTAAAATAGATTTTTTCACCCAGTCTAGTAAAGCAACTCTTTCATTGGTCGATTTTTAAATTTAATTTTTAAATGAACCAATGACATATCATTGCTATGGACTGGTTTACATGAAGTACATAGTTTGGTTGTTTTGGGGTTTTTTTTCAAATTCATTTCTCTTACTGTGTTCTAGCTTTTTTTTCTTCTTAAATCTTCTAAAAAACAAAAGTTTATTTTAATTAACAAATGTTTAATTATGGCATATGTTTTATCACATACTTCTTAAATTGGTATATTTGGATAGTTTAATTTTTATTTTACTAGTAGCGCTTGGTAATAATTGTAAAATTTTTATTATTAACTGCTTTATAATTTTAGACTTTAGTCTTTAAATGCAGATTTTATTCCTCTTGCTGATTTTACATACTTTTTTGATTTTATCATAGAAGTAATATAAGACTTTTTTATATATGTCTATAAGTGGCCTCTAGAAAGCGGGCCAGGTGGTCTAATGACTCTTTAAAATGTCCACTGTGGGTTAGAATCCTGCAAGGGGCTTTCATTGATTTCTTTCCCGTGAGGAAGCTTTCCAGCTAGTTTCATTACATTATTAAATATTAATTATGAAATATTACATTGTACGACTAAATTCAGGTATTTGGAACGTGTATATCAGGTGGTTTATGCTAATTTAAAATCTGCTCATTTGGCATGCAACTCTCTATGTCTTGATATTTCACCTGGAAAAAATGTCACTTCGCTGGTGTTTTAAGAACTATTAACATGAAATTGTGTCCAGATAATAAAGACTATGGTGAACAGCAATAGTTTCATGTAATAACAATGAGGAAAACAATTCATGGAGTCTGTTTAATGGACAACAGCAATAACTATAGCTTGTTAGGGTAAGACATATAGAGACTATAGTTATTCTGTGTAAAAATAACATTGTTTTTATGGAAATTTAACCCTGAGTGATTACAGTATTTGTTTAATGGAATTTTACGGCTGATATTTTCAGCCAGGTTAGAATAAACATCTGTTAAGTCAAACCAGACACTGTACTTTTTTGCTGCATAACTTCAGTATTTTTATTTTCAAAAACTCTCTAAACTTCTGGACAGTCTGAATTTGAAAAAGAACAAAAACAAATATATACACGCCAATAAACTTATAGCTTCCTACACAATCAAAATTAAATAAATTGGTAAAAAACTAAACTAAGGTAATTTAAGACAATTTTATAAGGTTTATATAAAAATAACAATACATGTATTTTATACATTTTCATATTTCTGACATTTACATGTACTTTTGTCAAGTTCAGTCTGCTTTGGTCATTTCATAAAACATTTTCAAACTTCTGTTCATATATAGCACTTCTCCTAACAACATCACAGTCTCCTAGTTGTTCACCAAATCAGCCACATTGTGACCTTAACCTTTGCTTTTATTTTTGGATTTATTATTTGAAATACATGTTGATCTATATATAGAAGTGAATGGTATTGGATAAAAAATAGATATCTGTAGTCACAGTTAAATTTTATATATTTGCACATTTTATAATGTTATATCAGATATTTTCAAGTGTCCATAAAAGTTTCGGGAAAGTTGCGGATTACAAGGATTTTAATGAAAATGTTTCTAACATTTACTCTGTCATTTCTAGCTAGCATGACTTGTTGGTACTACCAGTATATAATCCGGTCTCCTACATATCTATCCGGTTATACCGGACTACATTCTGTCATCTGCTTAATTTCATCTTTTTGACGATGTTGAAAGCTCCGAAAACGACTGAAGACAGGCCCAAATTCAAATTCAGGTCAACTCCATTATACAAATTTAGCGCCGTGGGAGTTAACGTGAAAACGTTTATCTCAAAACTGGATGTGATCACATTATTAGCATGTTATTTCTAGTGATTTTAGATATATTGTTGTTAAATATAATTACATAATTATTACAATTTTCATTTGCAGAGGAAATAAGAAAGAAATAGCTAGCTTGAGAGATTTTAGGAAATCTCGATTCTTGGAATTCCCGATTCTATTTTTGGCACATGTATTGCTTACAGTCACATTAAGATCTCACCATGTATATAGTTTGGCTATTATTTTAGTGTAGTAAGAATTGTACATAACAAGAATGTATAGGATAAGTCATGTGTTAATATGAAAAAGAGAAAGTATTATTTTGTACAGTACCGTATTTTACTTCATTGGTGCACCATAACTGTGTCCTTTTTGTAATGCTGAAAGGGTACCTTTTGTACCAGATTAGTTTAATAATCTAAAAATGTTTATGCCAGAAAACTCTTGTAAATTAAATATTTTTTCACTCTGTTTCATAAATGTGCTTGTAAAAATGAAATTAGACGTGCCCCTACATATTTTGTGTTTATAAGGGGATATATACGGTACTTCATTAATTGTGTCATTAAACATTTACACTTGACAATTATAAAGTGGAAATTTAATATCAGAATAGCGATTTGCTCTCATATTTATAATTGAATATTTCACAACCTGCCACAAATCACCTTGTATTTTGAACATTTTTGTTATCATATTACTGGTTGTTTTGTTTCATTTGAGGTCATTTCATTACTTTGGTGCAATTCATTATTCAATTCCTTTTAATGAGCTGCTGTTGACGAAAGATTTTCCAAGAGTTATTTTTCTAGCAAATGTTGGACATCTGCTATTGGTTAAAAATGCTGATCTAAATCTAAATTTGGCGTTTGATTATGAATTCAAAAATAAAAAAAAGTTATTGTTTTTTGAGAGATACACAAAAGGAAATGAATGGGGGCTTAAAAAGGGCATGAAGTTTTCTAGCATGGTAATTTGGAGGTATTATATTTAAAATGCATATTACTAAAGCATGGTGCGATATTGTGGATAAGTACTAAAGTAGTATAGACATATTATTTTGCTATTATGTTCTATTTATAGATTAAGAACAATTTGTTTTTGCGTTATAACCATAGAAACATGTTCATTGCCTGTACCTGGTGAGTAATGATGAACTTTGAAGACTGAATGAAATTCAAAACTATAGCACAGTCAGAAATAATTGAAAACCCGTCTATAGAGAATTTAGAATGGTCTTCTGATAGAATGTCAATTAGTATAACAACTTTATTTCTAGAATGACTAGACTTAATAATAGTAAATTAATCCTACTTTAAAACAAAAACTGTTTACCCTATAAACCATGCTGACTGTTATTCCGTTCAGGCAGGTATATAGTTTTTGTACAAGTAGTAACGTAATTGTCACAGTTTTGTCGCATTGGTCTCTCTCTACACATGTTACAGACACAACAACAACAACAAATTCTGGGGGAAATATCAGTAAACTTGTCTGTCGTGAAATGAGAGCAGAAAAGATTCTGTAGAATTAATTACACACAGAATTTCTGAAACGTGATTTTATGATAATAAGATGTCCACATTTTTTCCCACTGAAAAGAAATATTTATTTTTTTTAGTTATTTACTATCTGATATAATTGGAAAGGTTTTTAAAGCAAGCATGTCATAGGGACTTACAATTACATTGTGAGAAGTTCAGGATTTATGTCTTCATATTTATATTTAACATTGTTTTATAAAAAAAAAGAAGAAAAAAGACAACAACAATGTTACAGAGATGAATTTCAGGTGTTTTTTTGGGAGGTTTGTTGTTGTTTTTTCAGTGAAAGCCCCAAAGTTTGTAGCCATTTGATTTCATTTATGAGAGTTATCATTTAATATCTTTAGGGTTAAAAAATTTATAAAACTTTTGTTACATTTTTTTTTCTTTTGCGTGAACAATATTCTGTTACTTATTGGGTGGTATAAGACCTGTATATAAGTTTAATTATTAATATTTTTTTTTTACTATTTTTTTTGTGTACAGTTTTAATCTAGAATTAACATAAATTAAACTCATGTTTTTATCCCATAAAGATATGGATCATTTTGTTAAATCAAATCTGTTAGGTGATTTAATGTTTTGTATATACAACTGTGTTGTTGTTGATTACTGTTGTGTTTGTTGTTGTATTTTAAGTTAGTTTCATTGACTAAAGTGTTGTTGTTTTTTTTGAATAAAAAAAAACTCCACCTGTCACTTTTGTTCAGATGGAGAATGGCAAAATCAAACATTCAGCTTTACAAAGAGGTAGGTGATTCATATGGTATGGTATTTGTATGGTTAGTGTAAAGGAAAACTGTAATGCCCATGTGTATTTTTTTAACATTGATGCATGTCCGAAAAACATATAGACTATAGTGTTCTAGCTCCATAGAAAAAAAAAATCAAAAATTGTTTCAAACCATTAAATCTCATTCCAGTAAGATTGAAAATATTAAGGCCACGCCACAATAGTAAAAACATCAATGGGTTACATACAGAATAAGATTTAAAAATATGGTTCTTTTTTGTTTTTTAAATAAAACTTTGAAAGTGCTAAGTTAATGCTATGACTTGTAAATAATACACGAGTGTGTGTACTTGATTAATAAAAATCATAGCAGTGCTTGATTTATTGAAGATGAAAACACAGCAGATATATTTAATCAATCAGTCACATGTATTCAATATTCAAAAGTTGAATTAAAATTGTTTGATGAATACTGCCTTTAAGTTATTGAATTAATAAAGTTTGTTTTATTTTCTTTATTAAAATGAGAAAAAAAATATACAGAAATGAACAGTTTAAAAAAGTTGTTTTCGAATATGCCAACAATTAATGAACATTATGGTACGAAACTTTATTTTTCATTGATTTATATTTTTTCTTTCTGATTTTCTTTGCCAAAATAAGCTTACACTGCTTCCTGTACAAGATGCATTATATTTTTTAGGTATGATAGATTTTTTTAGCAATCACTTCATGCGCTTATCAATTTTTTTTCAATTTTTTTTTTCGAATTCATTTATTCCTAGATCATTTATCAGGATATCTTAATATGTATATAGTTAAGGTACATTTATGATATATATATATCAGTCATTTTACTTTAATGTCACAATTTACATGTTTTTAATCACACAAGACATGAGGCAGTATGTGTAATGCTCTCATTTTATATGTTAAGGGAATATGTGACTATTTTTTCAATCAAGTGTGCTTATTTTTCAACATGTTGGAGCTGTAGTGCTGTATCTATATATATTTAGCAGATAATTCATTATTGCTCCAATCTCTATATTTATCTCATCCTAAAAAAACTTGTTTTAATTGTGTATTATGAATTGGTAAATAAAGTCTGTGGTAACTTTCAATTGATTTTTGTTTTATATCCACCTATACGCCAAGCTGCTGCAGGTCATTTACTGCTGTAACAGGAGCCGAGATCCCTAACTGATGTGAATGTATCTGGATGGGAGAAGTCCTGCCAAAAAGTCTGTATCTTTATCAATCTGATTATAGTGCAGATCTACTTATTTCTTTTATGTAGATCTGAAGACCATGGTATATGTTCCGCCTTCTTTAGAATTCGGATTTCCCCGAGAAAGTTATTTTTAGCCATGCAATCAAACTGGTTTCTACATAGGTAAGAAGTATCAAAATATTGTTATACGTGGAAGTTAAACAACTTGTTAATTTTTGTTAGACAAAAAAGTTTGAAGTAAATTTTAACAAATTACTTGAAAAAATAAATTTTTAATTGGCAAGATTGTTTTGCCAGTTTACCTGTTGGCTATATGGACAACACCATGTTTGTAATCGAAATTGTGAATATTACCTACTTAGTATTGGTTTTCCCAGGGCCACATTGCTTTCAAAATTATGAAAGCTCTTCAATTATTGTCTGTGTGAATAGTCACCAGAACTAATTTCGTATATGGTTACGCTCAGATTTAAAAGCAGAGCGCGATTTAGAGCTGATTTTTTTTTTGTTTTATCTATATTTACTTGTTTTTAATAAAGATTGATTTATAAGCCAGTATATAACATTACACACCATATTTCCTTAACAAAACAATCAATCTTGGGACAAGTAAATATTGCTCGATACAGCAATATGTGTACAGATGTTTTGCCCCGATTTCTATCAAGTGTTTTAAAGTCTGCAAACTTTACCACTCAGACCAAGGACATGAAAAATAAATACACCGGACTTCTAAAATACTCATTTATTCATATAAAATTTCACGAATGTCTGATGATGAAAAAAAATAAAAACAGTGTATCAATGAATATGTTATGCAGAATAAAAACATGATAAAAACATAGACATTATGTTATACATGAACTATAAAAGAATAGATAACAACATGTTCAAAATAAGATGGTATAGTAGTATTTTTTCAAAAATGAATTTGAGAGGTAATCCTTTATATAAAATCTGACTGATGCTTTAGTAGTTATAACAGTTTGCACATTAAAGAAGTTTGACCAAGCTCTGTTTGCTGCTAAATTTGTTGTCAACATACAAATCTTACACCAACTGTTAGAATTAATAGACTGTTCCATATCATAGGTTGGAAGAGTCCATTTCATAAATTCAGTGAAAGTTTAATTTTACAATTTTATCATACATAACTACATACATATATGTATATAAATGTATAGTATCAGAGTATTGTATTAAACTAAATCAAATTATTAACTTGAGGTTAAAATACAAAAGAATATGTAGGAAAACAAAAAAAAAAATCCCAAAAGTGAAACAAAAACACCTTTTTCTGACCATACAAACAAAGGTTTAATAAGTATAGGACAAAAGATTTCTATATAAAAAAACAATTTGTATAATCAACAAACAGCCCGGAAATAAGGGGGTTTAAGAAGACAACTTAAATTTAGACATGTCATCAGCTTTGTGCAATAACTGGTTAACTCCTATATAATTTAGAAGGTCTTATCTTGTTACTGCACTAAAATGACGATGTGTAAACCAATGTCACATTCAGTTGAGTGCACCAAATTTTCTTTATGCTCCTGATGGTGTAACATGGCAAACATATATACAATGATACATATGTATAATTAAATGAAAAATGTCAATGAGTTTATACAGACGTTAGTGCCTATAAATAAAGTATATTATCACAACTTTAAAATATCAACTATCACCCATAAAAAGACACTCTTCAAGATATGTTTTAGTTCCTTTTGTTTTTCAAAATTTTAATTTTCAAAATAGAATTTTAATTTATTAACATTCTATTCAATCTCAAAAACAGTAAAACTTGCTTTCTAACCAATTTCTCCGCTCAAATGCATCAATGTCAGTGTAATTGGTTTATTTACGCAATCCTCATTTTCTTTCTGATAATTCCTATATGTCCATGTATAATAAACAGTTTTTTAAGCAGAATCTTAACTTGTACACAATAAACTTTCTTCCTGAATAAGGAAAAATGTGTAGAGAAGTGTTTCTAAAAAAAGAAATATCTATTCATGGGTATAGTTTAAGCAAAATATATGACCATAATAATTTTTAAAAAATACAAGAGTCTTGGTAAAAACAAATAAATTACCCAGAGCAAGTCATCCACCAAATGTGCAGAAATAATTTTAAGTGAGGTAAAATTCAGACATCTAATAAAATAACATATCTAACAATATTTAATTAAAAACCAGCACATTCATAGTTTGCTATGTAAAGAATATTTTGGATTTAACATAGATACATTAAAACTGACAATGCTCGATAACTTCAACAAATTGAGGGCTGACTGCAAAACTGTTGTAAATCTTTGTTTACTTTAAATAAATTACTTCAGTTTTGCGATCAATTCTCGAAATATGTCCTGTAAACATTCACATTATTCTCAAAACAACTTTTCGTACTTTAGTTTTTGTTTACTAAGAATAATTAACAAGGTAAGGGGTCAGAATTTGTGTCAGTGTATCTTGATACAAGATAGTCTTGATACAAGCTGTATAGGCATTTTTAAATGTGAAGAAATCATAAAATTATCATGAAATTATCTAACATAGTAGTCCATGAAACTTCCCACATACTCTCATAGCTTGACAATAATCTTTATGATTACTTCATTTAAATGATGCACATACAAAATGTACTTCAAAAAAATATCTACAACTTCTCGTGAATAAATTTCTATAAAAAAAATTGTTTACTTCAAATCTTAACAATATAAGGGAAATTAAAACATCTAAGTTTTATGCTGACACTGGTTATCTTTTCTTGTTCCTAAAATATACATGTTGTACCTAACATAGTATTTTTGAAAAGTCTTCTTTAAGCAAATGAAACAATACTGACGATATACATTCTTCAGAATAATTGAATTATTATCAGGTCATTTCAAAAATAACTGATTCATGTAAATAATAATTATTACATTGAAGAAAATTTGATATAGACACCAAAAAATGGTGACACTCTTTGCAAGAGAGGAAATTTCAAGTTCTCTGAAGTTCATTATTTTTTATTTTCACGCCTTATCTTTTATCTAAGTTACACTTAAACAATAAAGAAAAAACAATAGAAAATCAAATCATTATCAAGGTATTCAAATTGATTTAGTGAAACCTATAAACTTAATTCTCAAAGAACCTTGACAAAAATTCTCGTACCTGTCCACAACAATTTTGTTACTCAATGATGATAATAATGACATCAGGATCGCAGGAAAGTAGACCTGGTAGCTAAAATCATAAAATCAAAATCAACAACGGAACCACTGGTGCCCGACGTCTGACACCCCTATATGTATATTATTGATATATAAGCAGGTATGAAGAGGATATTAGACGTCAGCCACCTGTGACAACAACATACTTCATAATTATTCTTGTTTTAGTCACAATTAGTTAAAAGTGTAAAATGGTACAATGGTAGAATGGTAAAACAATGTGCTGCAATAAGAGATTATGTTAAATCTTTTATGAAACATGTTCCCTAGAGTATGGAACTTTCATGCAATCGTTTCCATAATAACATCATATAAACATGAAAGTAGAAAAAAATCTGAACTTGATCAGTATGTTTCAAATATATTCAAAATATTTCACTCAGCTTATTTTCACTCTTCTTTTTTTTTGTCAGATAAAATGTTCTTAACAATAATAAAACTATACAACATTGTGGTGATTTAGTGAGATTATTTCGACCCTGGTACTATCTATACCAGATTTATTTTCCTATGATCCAGAGAGAGAAATGGATAGAATTTATCACACTGTTGTAAGTGTCAAATGTCACTTGATCACTATCCTACATATGGTATGTTTATGTACAATGTTTAACATATACAGCATTATTGGATTTGTATCACGTGTCCGGTTGACTTGTTCTCGCTCTTTTCTCCGGAGGCTCATCTGGTTCTGTGTCTCCTTTGGCACCGGGATTTATTGCTGCATTTGCCGTTGTTAGCATGACAGGTACAGGCATTCCTGTTGATCCCTAAATGATAAAAAAAAAAATATTTAATATTTACAAAGGTAATATATAGAGGATATTTGTTTGTTTGTGTGTAAGATGAAATTTTATTTCATCGAGTGAGCTTTAAAAACAGTATTCTCACGAGTGGCGTAGCCACGAGTGAGAATACTGTTTTTAAAGTTCACGAGATGAAATAAAATTACATCTTACACAACAAACAGACAAATTTTCTTTTTATTTTATGCTTGAAAACAAGTTAAAACGAAATTTCCATAATTTTAACGTTAATATTAAAATCTGTTTCCCCCATTGAGAGCCCCATTTAGACGGAATTTCTCATTTAAAACAAGAAGTCTTGAGTTGAAAAATAAGTCCGCCAATCAAGGTTAAATGACGGTGATATTTATTCATTTTATTAAAAAAATATGAATGATCGCTTGTTTTAATAATAGAAACAAACAATTCTTGCAGGAGAAAATTCCAACCATCCATCCATATTTCTGTTACTTACTGTGAAATTATATTAGACCTGGCTTTCTAAAATGTAAACGGCAGCCATTTTTTAAAGTTGTGTATTTCATGGGAGGAAAATAATTGTGTAAGATTCAGAAGGATATAATTTGGATTTGTTAGTCATACACCTTTTTAAAAGAAAGAAAACTTATTTGAGGATTGTAACAGACAAAAAATAAGTGTTGACAGAAGTGCAAACATTCAGAAAAGGAGCTAGGAAAATGGAAAACTTGGAAGCTTGCTGAAGGAACGCTGGGTTGTTTTACTTATTTTACAAGTGATGGCTGTCAATGCTTTTCAATTTTTCATAAAGCATACGGCAGTTATTGCTCGTAGGATACTTTAATATGCCAAAATGTCATCAAGAGCAGTTTTGCATAAAGAAGGAATGTATTTTTCAGACTGTAAAAACGAAACAAAAAAATTTAGAGACGAAATTTGGTGATTGGAATTTGAAGAAATAGAAGTAAGTTTTCTCTCTGTGTTACTTTTGACATTTAAGTTATTTATCTATTTCAGCTTTGCTATTTCTTTTAACAGCCTGACATTGTCAGAATTGTCCGTAAAAATAAAATTGAGGTACCACATGGGGAAAATCTTAAAAAAGTAGTTTCGTCATTGAAAAAAGTGAAATTATATTTTGATAATTTTCACTGTGAAATTATCAAATATAATTTTCATGGATAAATCAGTAATCCACTGAAAAGCATAAAATAAATACAGACTGCTACTTTAAATGGTTTCTAATTAGTCTTTGTAAGTCCTTTTTATGTTTGAGACCAATTTCTTCAAAGTCTTGCCTTGCCCAAGTGCCAATGCCTTGCCCGAGGTTCAACGCCTTGCCCAAGTGCCAACGCCTTGCCCGAGGTTCAACGCCTTGCCGGAGGGTCAACGCCTTGCCCGAGGTTCAACGCCTTGCCGGAGGGTCAACGCCTTGCCGGAGGGTCAACGCCTTGCCGGAGGGTCAACGCCTTGCCAGAGGGTCAAAATAGCAACACCTGCATAACGAATCTGATGTGCTCCTTTTCAGTCTAAGCAGGTTTTAATTTTGTATTATCGAGTCATACCATTAAAGGGGCTTAAGCAAAATCTTTAAGCTACCACCATTCTTTACTATTTGTATACACCACTGCTTAAATTTAGAGACACATTGGGTTGACCTGATAATTTTGGGTTAAATATGCATTTAAATTAAAGGTAAAAAATATGTTTAATTAAATATTTACAGTAAACAAATTAAATGTAAAACCATTCTGGAAATAACTAACATGAGAACACTTACTGAAACCGAGACTGTGATTGGTTGTGTATTCAGTTGAAAAGATCCTGCCATTTAAAAAATTTTTTTTTTTCGCCAAATTAGTGGGCTACTTGAAATTTATTTTGGGGAACTTACTGGAAATTATAGAATATTAATTAACCGTTAAATTAGAATTATCAAAACTGAATAAATAAATAAATGTTTAGTTTCAAGATGGACCAACATGGTTGCAGTCATAAATGCTTGTCATGTAACGCTTCATTACACAAGGTAATGCTCAGGTTCTTTGCCATGAAATTTGCATGAATGGTTTTATCCAAATTAAAGAAGGGCAAGTTCTTTTGAGTTTGTGTGGTAAAGCTTTAAGGGACCGGACTTTCAAGTGACTCATTTCTCTATAAGTGATGAAAGGAACGTGTTATAGAACAATGAGCTTCAGTAAACTAACTGTTTCTCAGAAGAAAGAATCCCCTTGCAGGACTGAAGCCACATTGTTGAGGAGCAGTTGACTTTCAATCAGTTACTTACACCAGCTTGCCAAAGAGTTTCACAGTCAAATTTCACAGCATATTTTATGTACACAATTCATCCTTTCGGGCAATAAATTTTTACAAGCCATTATTGGTAATTTAAATAGGGATCTACATTTATTATTACAGAGATCATAAAAAAGTTACCTTGTCAGCACTCCAGCAGCCTGGACAGCTGCTGTCAGAGGTCCGACGTTCATCTGAGATAATAATGGTTGCATTAATGACTCCAGATCCGCACTATTTATGTTTAATGCACCTGAAAAAGAAGAAACAATCAACATGAAATAGTTTTTCAATACTAAAACAGTACCTAAAACTGATTCATACCACACACTACACTGAAAGAAATGTTACTAAAAGATTGCATAGATTTACAAAATTCTCTCAGAAAAAAGTCTGACGATATTGACGAGCGTAGAAGTACAGACTGGACTGGTTCTTGGTGGTGTAACTCAGTCATTATATTATACCTGCTAACACTTAGTAGATACCTGACAATGTACATCACAGTGAACAATTTTCACAAAATCAAAAGAATAACTGTCTTACTTATTAACAAACAAAAAGAATAACTGTCTTACTTATTAACAAACACAAAAGAATAACTGTCTTACTTGTTAACAAACACAAAAGAATAACTGTCTTACTTGTTAACAAACACAAAAGAATAACTGTCTTACAAAGGAATAATTGATTTATTTGGTCACAATGAAAAGAATAAAATTCATTTGTAACAAAAGATTAATTGACAGGTAACAAAGGACTAATTGACTTACTTGGTAACAAAGCTGATTGAAGATTGGATGGCAGGCCTGTTCCACTGGGCGTTGCTATAGAAACAACAGGAGTTTCTAAAGCCGTGCTTAGTTGTTTTAATTGTTGCAGCTGAAAAAAATTATTCTAGGTGTAAAAAGTTTCAAAATTTTATTACTAAAAACTAACATGTAATATTCATGTATGAAGAGAATCACCATCACCTACTTGTAAAGGATCATGATAAAATTCAAACTTCAAATCATCTTGCTTTGAAACAAAAGTATCAGGATTTAATAGGTACATGTAATAAAAACCTTTAAAAGATGATCCAAGTTGCAATTAAGCCAAGATCAAATGCATTTGTCAACCATCTGGTTCAGTAGAACAGGCATCAAGCCAACTTCTATTTACTATTCATAAAATAAATTGCAATTTACTAAATGTGCTGCAACTACAGCATTGTCAAATGACATGGATCATGAAACTACCAGTCAATTTAAATCATTTGCACCAATGTCCAGACAACACCTTGCCTTGATTTACACTTCAATAGACTCAATAAATGAAGGTACACATATAATAATTATATTATCATGATTATGTCACTTTGACTGTGAAAACTGTTTTCCATCACTCTATAATGCTTGTTTTCAATGTAATAACTATATTTCATACTCCTATATATGAAATATTATGATGTCACCATTATGGAAGACCAATATGTGACATCATCTTAAGATAACTGTACAGGGTGTTCACTAGCTACGAAATCCTGAGGGTCATTTTGACTAAATTCTACCAACTACAAGGCCAAATCCCCATGAATTTTAACAAAATTTGACCCTCCAGCTATAATCCTGTGGGTCAAATCAGGCCTTTTGGAAATTTGAAGGTTCAAAGAGTCATTTCAAGGGTCAAACGGACACATTAATAACACATTAAAGGCAGATTCTGCTGTTTTTCAAACTTTTTTTTTACACTAAAATCTACACAAATATACAGAAAATCCATGGAAAGTATAGATTACAAAGTATAAATGCAAATCATATTACAACAAAGGTCCCATGTAAGACTAACCAAAAGTTGTTAAAGTGACATTATGCTCATTTATATCAAGTTGACTCGAATTGGTTCTATATTTCAAAAGATTGACTATTATAATGGTGAGTGACCAATATGGCAATAACTGATTATGAAACATGATTATGAAACAATATTAAACGGCCTGAATTATGAAAAGACTGTCCCACTCTTTTTAAGGATTGAATATTACCTACACATTCACAAAAATGTTTATAGAAATTTCCATTAGTGATTAATTTTTCATAATAGAATATAAAATTGAACACAATTATGGCAAAAAATGTCAAACTTATTATATGATTTTCACCAATTCACTGATCAGTCACACTTTGATGGGCATAATATCACTCTAAGTAAACATTTTTACCAAAGTTATTATTTATAGATATACCTGAGGTGTACCAGAATCTCTAGGGATGACAACTCTGAGATTGGGTCGACCCCTCCCACCACCCGGACTGTCATCAGTTGACTCCCTAGACTGCTGAACAGACACAGGTGCCGGTGATGTACTGGTCTTGGTCTGCGGACTTGCAGCTACACGGTTCTGTGTTTGTGCTGGGCTCAGATTCACAACTGAAAATGATAAAAAATGTAACAATAAATTACATTAAGGAGCTCTCCTAAAGTCCAAAAACTAGTGATGGAAATCGGATACTACCAAAAACCTTAAAACACAACATTCATAATACTTACATAGATTAACTGGGACACTTGAATTGCAAAAGTATGCAAAAGATAATACAAAAATATAATCAGAAATAAATTGAAACAAGAACATGTTTGTTAAACACAAATGCCCCCGGCTCCGATTCTTGTCAGTAGCAATGTTTTAAAAAATGTTTACCCATTCACTCAGTTATGGACAGAAACATTGCCAAAAAATTGTAAACACAAGTTATATAGCTTGACAGAGTCATGGCATTTTGTAATTGTGAAATATATAAGTTGCCAAGTCATTGCTATGACTTGTGAAGTGATAAATATTCAACTTTATCAAATATATATAAATGTAAGAAATCTATACTTGGCACCCTTGACCTTGACCCACTGACACCTATAGAATATCATGCAAGTTATCTTCCTACCAAATATGAAATACAACTGTCAATAAATAAAGGCTGTATGGGCAAAAATGTTAAAATTTATTTTGAGCATTGATGACCTTGATCAAACTGACCCCTAACTCCATCCAAAGGAAGAATACCATGCAAGTTATCTTCCTACCAAATATGAAATATATCTGTCAATAAATAAAGGCTGTATGGGCAAAAGTGTAAAAATCTATTTTTAGCACTAGTGACCTTGACACACTGATCCCTAACTCCATCCAAAGGAAGAATACCATACAAGTTATCTTCCTATCAAATATGAAATACACCTGTCAATAAATAAAGGCTGTATGAGCAAAAGTGTAAAAATCTATTTTTAGCACTGGTGACCTTGACACAAAGACTACTAACTCCATCAAATTTTATGTTCCTATCAATTATAAATGACATCTGTCTATAGAATATGGTTAATACACCTGTAAAAATCTATTTTTAACAATGGTGACCTTGACATTGGTGACATTGACCTTGACCCAAATGACCCCTTACTATACCCAAAGAAGGAGGACCTCCCTTGGCATGTTTGTATTAAACATGAAAGACATCAACCAAAAAATAAAGGCTGTATGAGCAAAAATGTTTAAATTTATTTTCTAAACCAGTGACCTTGACCTTGACCCTAGAGACTACTTACTCAACAAAAAATTAGAGGACCATTAAAAGTATCCACCAACCAGATAGGCAAGATATCATTAAATAAATTAAGGAGAAATTTACGATAAATCCAACTTGCCGGAATAGGTTAACCAGACAAGGCCCTATTTTCAAAGTGAAAAAAGGGAAATAACTGGGAAATATGGATGACACAGTTATATAACTTGGCAATATCATGTACTTTGTATTGATAAGTAAGTGTGGAAATTATGAAGCCATTAGTATAGATAGAAATTAAGATATTTCCAACTTGCCGTTTTAGGTTAACCATTATTCATTTTCTAAGTGCTGAAAAGGGCAATAACTTGGTAAATATGGAAGCCATAGTAATTTGACCAGATCATGTACTTTGTATTGATTAGTAAGAGTGTAAACTAAGAAGCCATTTGTACAGGTAGAACTTGTCGTTCTAGGTTAACCTCATACGGACAGACGGACGGACGGACGAACGGTTCAATTACTATATGCCCGGGGGCATAAAAATCAATTCTGAGATCAATTCTCATTTTGAATTAAAAGCCTTAAATGCTTTTTATTTTTGGGTCTTTTAGCGCAATAACAATGATTATCAATACTTAATGGTTAACAAAACTCGAAAAAAATATTTCCAGTCCCTGTAAGTGGAAAACATTAAAAAAAACAACAAAATAAAACGTCAGTGGAGTCCCTTTAACAATAACTTAAATCATCAGCATGTAGACTGGCAAACTTTATACTCTTCTGGTATTTCTAACAGCTATTAATAGGCATGCCTCTTCAAATTATCAAGACTCATTATATTGATTTGCCAAGGCCTGACACCTCTAGATACTTTACAGCTACACTTACTATTTGGGCTATGTGATGATCCAACAGTGGCCGTGTTCCCAGCAGATGGTATTAGAACTATATTGCTACCATGACTGGTGAACTGCTGTGCCGTAGTGTAAGCTGAGTTGGGTACCGGTACCGATACAGGCAAACCTTGCTGCTGCTGCACATTTGCAAACTGAAAAACACAATTTTCATAACAATTAGTTTACATTTTAATGACTAATTAAAAATCATTTATCAAAAATGATTAAAATCCCACATTAGTAAAATAATATTAGTAACGAATTAAACAAAGTACAATATATTACAACATGACATGCTCTTTCTTTAGTTCACTTTTAACATTATTAACAAATACTTTGCGTATAGTCCAATAATTTCAATCTATATTATAATTATTTTATTACAATAAAATTATATTGGCAAAAACGTTAGCTTTAAATTACTAATTGAACTTTTTAAATTTGATCTGCAGACATAGGACTTAAGCGAACTTCAAGTTAATTGTTCATACAACATCTAACCTAAATTTACCCTATAATTCCCACAGACAAATCAGGTTTCAAATTCTGATCACATTTCAAATTTTCAAGGATCGCCTTATTAACTTCAACCAGCCTCTGTTATTTTTCATTCTATTGACCGACTTACCATGTTTAATGAGGTTTCACCAGATAAAGCCTTGGCATAATCTTCATTTATCTTCTTGTACTTTTCTTCGGTGCTCGGTGTCAACATATACTGGGCGTCATCATCGTCGAGTTCAGCCTTATCTCCCTTTTTGTTCAACATCTGCCAGTGAAACAAACAAGTTGTTACCAAATCTGGATTTTAAGCACCAAGGACAATGTCTTACATCAGGTACATGTGTACTATGCCATTGATTTTACTAGCCAGCACAGTCTGACATGGGAATCCTATAAAGTCCTGATGAAAAACATTATTGGTTCGAAACCAGTAGTATTGATCATTATTTTGTCCTGGTGATGACATCTTGTTTTCATATATCACTACCCTAGTGCAGTAATGGGTTAAGTCCTAACAAATTTAACAGGAGTTAATAGTTATTACACTTAAGTGATGATATCTATATTCAGCCATTATTTTTTGTATTGCATAGCTAATTTTTGTTTTATCTTTTATATTCATCAATTTAACAAGCAATGATTACAAATTTGAAGCAGCTGTCGGCCAAGTCTATTATACAATTTTAGGGGGGCATGCGGGAACAGAGACCTGCTTTTCAAGCAAAATACTTACTTCAATAAGATTTTAATATAACACTAACACATAGCTTATACACATAATTTAACAGTAAGAAGAAAAAAAACTAAATGTAACAGGGTTCCCACAAAGAAGAGAAATCAAAATTCCCTGACTTTTCCATGACTTTTCCCTGACCAAAACCATTTTTCCCTGACCAATAACAGCGTCAAGTTTGCACAATCTTAGAGCATTTAATGTATTTTTTTATACATGTATTTCGACCTCCTCCTCCCCAAACAGCCAACCTATTTTCCTCAATTCTTTATTTTAAATTATTCAAGAAAAAAATACATGAATATTAGCGAGCAATTGTCATAAGCTACTTGTTTACTTTCAACAAGTACGAGTACATTTATCCAAATTGTAAAGTATTTGATAATACATGTCATGCTAAAAGATGTTTCATTCTCTTAAAAATACAAAGCAGTGTTATCAATGGAGGATTGACTAAAACAGGCCTGCATTTTAATAAAATATATGATAGTAATCAATAGAAACTGGTGTTAAACAAGAAACAATAAGACAGGTAATGAAGTGGCTACAGAAAAAGCAAAATGCAGTAAAAGCTAATAATACTTCTAATAAACTAGCTATGGCAGTTAGTATCTCAAAGTTATGGTTTAATGCATGTGTGCAAAAACACAACATGGCACTAAAATGATTGGTACTTAATCGAAGTCCACTTAGTGTTTTCTCAAGTTTCTCAATATCTTTTTACTGGATTCTTTTATTACTTTTCTTTGACCTTGACCCTGAAGGCATTGCACTTGGCATTTGACTTCACAAGCAAGTCCATTTTCATCTTTTTTCAGCCTCCTGAGCAGATTATCAGCCTCTTTCACAAGAACAAACCATAAACAGCTCAGGAGACAAGGGATGCTTAAACTCCTTTTAGCTTCTTTCTTAAAAAGATAGTTACTGTTAATATGACAAAATCTTCAGGCAGAAGCATAATCATTTTTAAGAGTAAAAGAATATAAAAATAAAACAGAAGCTCATAATCAAAAATAACAATAAAGATACCCAAAATAATGGAAGAAACTGCCTTAGCTTTTACTGATTTTGCTTCTTGCTGTTTGACAAACATTATTTTCTACAAAATTCCCTGACTTTTCCCTGACTTTTGCTTATTTTTCAAATTTCCCTGACCAATTTCAAAATTCCCTGACTTTTCCCTGACCTTGAAAAAAACTCATTTTTCCCTGACTTTTCCCTGACCGTGGGAACCCTGTGTAATGTCTTAAACTGCTGAATTTGTGTAATGTCTTAAACTGCTGAATTTGTGTAATGAATTTTGGATTACAGAAATTGTGCTACCAACAGTAAAGAGCCTGGTCAGACTGCACTTTCATGCCAGCTGCTTTAAGTGACTGTAAAAATGTTCAATTTCCAATGCTGTATTAAATATGTATAAAGCACAATGTGTTTTTATTATGATAACAACTTTTGATCAATATTGTATGTTTGTTATGATTAAGTTCAATATTTTTTTTATCATGTTGTATTTAAACACTATACTGATAAGAATATCAATAAAAAGCTATCAATGTGCACATACTCAATTATCCACACAGTGACGTTGTAAAAAGTATACAAATTACATATATTGTTTACAATTTATAAATCACATCTACAGCTGTCATTTTTTATTTTTTGTTTCAACAAAAGAGAAATATGTTTCAATCAGGTACAGACCAGGTTGTTCTAGTGTTTTCCCTACACTTTTTGGAGTAAGTCCTGCACCCCCACCCTTACTTCCCATCAAGAAGTTTTTTAGCAATAAAATTTGCCTGCTAAATTTGGGGGGAAAAATCACTTGTGCCCAATTGATATTCCTTTTGGTAAAAAAAAAAGAAATTTCTAGCATATCTATGTACTGTACATATAAGTTTTATAAAGAACTATTTACCAAAGTTGGGACAAAAACACAGAATAATTGGAAATTTAACAATTAATAATCAGATCTCTACCATTAGCCATTTTATCCATTTGCTGAATTTCTTATTAATTTGACTGCAATAAGAATAACTTGGCTACAGGATTTCATATGCATGATGCTATGCTATTTTGGTGAAATTTTGTATAAAATCAGAAATTCACACCTATTTGATTTGGCTAAAAGAGAATTTCAACAAAGGTAAATCCAGCATGATAATCTGTTTACCAGTACACAACTTCTATTCAAAAATCACTTGGTTCAGTGACAAGGTGACTGATGACAAAAACTGGACATTCAATGATCAAAGATCCTCATAAGACAGGGTGGATAAGATTGGTTTATTATTTTATTATCTAATTAATAGTAAGCAATCATTCCTTTACAATTTTAACCGTGTTGACTGATTGTTTTAGAGCCGCATGCCTCCAGATGAGCAAATATAATTCAAGAAAATCAAACTCAGGAAAAAAAATGTACTTAAGAATAAGATTTTAAGAATAGTAAAAAGATTCAAGATTCAAGTAATAATGTACGTGGTACATTATATGCGATTAATGACTGACTTTGCAATAAATACATATCAGCAAATTTCTACTGTATGACTAATGCAGTAAGGGCTTTTGCATATTTTGAGCTCTTTCTGGTACATAAGGCAAATTGTTAGTGCCGTTTGCAATATGTACAAAACTTTCTTTGTTCCCTTCATAATATTTTACTTATATATACATTTACAAAATTTTCATGAAAATTAGCATGAATCTGGAGGCATGCTGTTTTAATAAGATAGTGAAACTGCCTTCCCTTATATTTATACTTTTAATAGCAATTTATAGAAAAAGACACAAAAGATAACCTGATACATACATCAATAATATCCTTGTTTGTTTGGCTGACAACAGTGTCGTTATATTCTGTATATTTCAGCAGAACCTTGTCCATGTCCGAGCTAGCATACTGGTACAGCTTGTTGTTGGTCGTGAAGATGATAAGGGCTATCTCACAGTCACATAGGACGCTCAGCTCGTACGCCTTTTTCATCAAACCAAACTTCCTCTTAGTGAATGTCACCTGAAAATAATCAACTCAATTTTTACATAATAGAATACATGCATGAAACCAAGCATAAGAAACAGACTGAAAGCTATGGAGAAAAAAATGATTTAGAAAAACGAAATTCAATCTTGTATACATGTACATTAAATTAAAATAAATAACATTATAAGTGTGCTTGATTGCAGCATCTGTCTGATCTTCTGCTTATATTGGCCTTTTTTCATATAATATATTTATAATACTGCACTTTTGAAACATTGTTTTTTTATTGGATAATTATAGAGTTTGTATAAACTTCACACACAGCCGTCTACTATTAGTTGTCTATTATTCATTTATTGCTGTGTTATAAATTTGTTTGAAAGATTTTTGACTGGCTTTACTTTACATGTTTAAAAATGCAAATAAATTTCTCAAATTATGTTTGTCTGAAACACTTTGTATACTAAGCTGTATATACCCTGCAGAACTTAAATAAGATATTCATAAATAACAATGTATTTCTACAACGCAGATGGGAAGATGGGAATAACATCACAAGACTGGATAAACAACTCGAACGTTGGAAGGACCACTTTGCAGACCTCTTGAATGGCGAACCAGTTCAAAATACACCTGATTTACCACCTGGTGAAGACCTAGATGTTGATGTAGGCCCAATCAGGAAAGATGAAATCTTGAAAGCTTTAAGTAAGATCAAGAATGGAAAAGCAGCAGGACCAGACCAGATTCCACCCGAGGTCATGAAAAACAACCCAGAGGTCACCTACGAAATCCTTTAAGATCTCCTGGACAACATCTGGGAAACAGAAGAAATACCTAAGGATTGGAGTTTAGGCTACATCATTAAACTTCCAAAGAAAGGAGACCTAGGCAACTGTCAGAACTGGAGAGGAATACAACTGCTCTCTCTACCAAGCAAAGTCCTAGCCAGAGTGGTCTTATAACGAATAAAAGGGGCAATAGATGAAAAATTACGTGATGAGCAAGCAGGCTTCCGCTGTGGACGTTCATGCACCGACCAAATTGCCACTCTACGTATCATCATAGAGCAGTCATTGGAATGGCAATCACCTCTCTATATCAACTTCGTTGACTTTAAAAAGGCGTTCGACATGGTTGATAGAGTCACTTTGTGGAAGGTGCTACGACATTACGGCATACCAGACAAACTTGTGAAGATCATACAAGGGTTATACAACAACAACAAATGCCAGGTCATTCACAACTCCACACTTTCACCATCCTTCAGTGTACATACAGGAGTACGCCAGGGTTGTCTACTGTCACCTCTTATCTTCTCGGTTGTCATCGACTGGATTATGAGAACCTCCATGACACCACCAAGAGGCATCCAATGGTCACTCACTGCCAAGCTTGAAGATCTTGACTTTGCAGATGATGTGAGCCTACTATCCCACAAATTCCAGCAGATCCAACAGAAAACATCGGCTCTTTACACAACAGCAAAATCAACAGGCCTGGAGATCAACACTTCTAAAACCAAGTCCTTAAGAATAAATACCCAGAACAATTCGACCATCACACTAGACAATCAATCCATCGAAGACGTCAATCAGTTTACATATCTGGGAAGTATCGTTTCTAAGAATGGAGGAGCTGACAGTGATATCAAATCGAGACTTGGGAAAGCCAGGCATGCCTTTGTGACCCTCAGACCGTTATGGAAAAACAAGAACATCAGACAAAAGACCAAACTGAGAATCTTTGAGACCAATGTCAAATCAGTTCTTTTGTATGGATCAGAAACCTGGAAGCAAACCAAGAAAAACGAACACGACTTGCAGGTATTCATCAACAAATGCCTCCGACAGATTCTACAAATCAGATGGCCAAACAAGATCAGTAATTCAGATCTGTGGAATAGAACAGGCCAGTCATCTATTTCAAGCACCATCAAGAAACGTAAATGGCATTGGATAGGACACATTCTGAGGCGACCCCAACACAACATCACAAGGCAAGCATTGGATTGGAATCCTCAAGGTAAAAGAAGAAGAGGCAGACCAACAACAACCTGGAGACGAACAATAGAAGCTGAGTTGAAAAGCTGCAATATCACCTGGGCAGAAGCAAAAAGAGCAGCAATGAACCGACCCAGATGGAGAGCTGTTGTGGATGCCCTTTGCCCCACTAGGGGATAACAGGATTAGGTAGGTCAGGTAGGTGCATAAAATTTATCATTGTCATTTGAACTGAGAATATATGCCATAAAGAACAAAACACATTGTGTTTTGTTCTTAATGGCATTTTTCTCATTTCAAATGACCCCTCAAAAAAATAATTAAAAGTTTCACAGGTATGATGACTTTCTTCTTCAAATTCTTTTTATTCAATATTGAGCAGCTTTAACTAAGTTGTGGTATGTATGTTGTCTTATTTACTTGTGCACCTTCTCCCCACTCTTCTCTGAAAACTGTTGAAAGTTGCTGGGTTTTCTTATGCACTTGTTGTTGATAACAATTTGCATTATTAAAAATTCATTATATAAGTACTGACTGAATATAAGGGAGAATATTATAGCCTTGCTAACAAATATAACCCTTGGTTAGCACCTCAGGTCATATTTATCTGATTAAGGCTATATTCTCTTGTATATTACGTTAGCAACTTATATACATATATCAGACTAATATCTAATTTTATACTGTATGCTAGCTGAGTAATTAAAAGGTGACACCCTTACCAACTCAGCTATGGATCCGGTGCCTTGCTTAAATGGATGTGCACTGTGAAACAGAATTACCATGAAATAAAAACAAGCTTTCTGAAAAACGGTTAAGGTCAGTGAATAATTATACATAATACTGACCCAAGTGCTGATAAAGAGCAACAAAACCACTACATGTAACACTGTTAGATGACAACTTACCTGTCTGTTTCTTTCATCATTAATTCTAGTGATGGAAATCTTCTTTCGACCCATGACTGTTTGTTATTGTTTTCAAATACAAGACGTGATATACAATTATTCTGAATAAAGTGATAACCTGAAAAAAAGAAAAGAGATCATTTAATTATATAATCATTTACATGTTAATTTCAACTTGATGACAACACATTAAATAAGGCAAGTCTGAATTATTCATATGAATAAGATAATTGCTCTTTTTTTTAATATTTAACATACTCAAAAATCAACTGTCTTTGTATTATAATTAATATAATTTCTTTCTAATTAACTTTTAACTTGATGATGACTTGAAGTCACTTCAAATGAATACCTTTCAAGAAAACACTCTAACATGTATTTAATCCAGCATTTATTATTTTATATACAATTTCTAACACAAGTTGAAATCCAAATCATACTAAATTAAACCACCTGGGCATTAAAAGCCTGTTAAATTAAGTCTCATAATTATAACAACTTAAAAATTATGTCAAGTAACAGTTTTCATCATTCCTACATGTACTTTGGTTTCATATCAATAATAATGTAAAGTGTGACATAATTTCTAAAAATAGAAAAATGGTGGAATTTTCTGACTCATCATCTTAAATACAAACTGAAACCCCATGGCCCCCATTTATGATTGTTGGTTTAAGAGAAATTAAGTACAGATAACTGATTCCAGAAACAATGAAATTCAAATCAAATCAAATAAAACAAATAATATTTCCTTTTAATTGGTGAAATTGTAACTTAATGATTTAACATAATTGCTGTCCTAGACAGAGTCAGAGGATTTTTTCTGATTTTTCGATATTAATGAATATTTTTTTTGCCTTTTTTACAAAAGCAAAATTAAAACGATTGTTCGTCTGTATAGCCAATGAGTATTTCAAACACAAATTAGTTTTTCCAAAATTAACTTAAAAACTGATAGATCTTTATTAGTTAGCACTACAAATTTATATACAGTGTTCATTAACACAAACATTTACAGGCTATAAAGCTTGATGTTTTTATATATTAAATATATCTTTCACTGAAAGAGAAAGTAGATGTATAAATGTTAAAATATTGTTTAACAATATATTTCAAAATTATGTTTAGTTAGTGGGTCTCAATTATTTCACCAGATTTTACTAAATTTTATCAATCATGTTCAATCATATAATTGTAAAACTTGGGTAGAAACCTTACTGTCATATTCAAGTCTGATGAAGTTGAACATCTTTTAAATAAAACTGAAAAAACTTTTAACTTCAATTTTTGACCACAACAAACATGTCAGAATCAACGAGACTGTCCAGAATGAAACACAGAACTTAGGTCTCGTGCTGTGGTCATTCTATAAATAATATGTAAATATAAACACAACAAAATATTAATTTTAGAATAAACTCTATTAAGGAATAGAAAACAAGAGATAGTTCATGGCTTCCCCGTTGGATCTACGCCGGATTTCGACATTTTGTATGGGAATTTCCACTCGTTCGGAGTTCTTGTCGATTTTGCATAAAATGTAATGTACAATTTATCAAATTATCATCATTAAGGCATCTGAATCTTACCAAATATTAGAAATGTGATGTGTATAAATATCCTTACGTTGCTATTTTTACTGTCCAGTAAATTCTGTCAGCAAATATCTTCAGTTTTGTGCTATTTTAGGAGTGGAAATTTTACGTTGGTAAAAATAGACTCCTCCAACATGGATGTCGCGTAGGAAAAGTAGCGCGGATCTTATAAAATTAATGTCTTAATAACTTAATGTATTAATCTCATTTACAGAGAAATAGAAATATATACAAATAATTTAACGTAATAATTTTTGAGACACAATAGGAGTTCAGATTCTTATTAAAATAATGGTTGTTAATGGACTATTTGTTTGGTGGACGCATTTACTATTTTTGTTTCTGTACTTTGGTTAATCTACAAACTAAAAATAACTTGCGTTATCATACAAATTTTAAGGGCCAGTTGACTTCTAGAATTGTGTACATTGATATTTAACAAATCCGAAATGTTTTTAATTAGATAGTTGAAATATTTTGAAAAAAGAAAGTTAATTGATGAGCTGACGTCATTTTGTTGTCATGTGACGTGTTAGAGATGAAAACTACCACAAAGGAGATTTTAATACCGATAAGTAAAATTTAAAATTGTCTACATCTACATCGTACGTCGGCGCAATCACATTTGATTATAACGCGACGGGTGGTGCTAGGTCAAGAAAAAGAAATATACAAGAAATGATAGAAAGTTAGAAGAGGTTGGATAGCTCAAAAGGAAGAGATATAGACAAAAATCTGGCCAGGCACATATATAGTACGATGTACATGTGGATGGTAGATGGAACTTCTTGGAGTGGTCACTTCTAATGCGGCTCGGGGCAGGGGTGAGATAATCGCTGACTGGTATGTCCACAAGGTCATTGGTGATCTTGAACATCATGGTCAGCTGGGCTTTGGTCCGTCGTGACTCTAATGTCTCCCACTCCAAGTGTTGGATCGTGGAGGATACGCTGCTGGTGTTGTGGTAACGGTTCGTCACATATCTTGCAGCTCTCCTCTGGACTATCTCGAGCTTGCGTGTAAGGTCCTTGGTATAAGGGTTCCAGACGGTGGAGCAATATTCAAGGCCTGGTCTCACGAGTGACATGTAGGCTGTGCTCTTAACATGTTCATTGCTGATGCGCAGGTTGCGTCGAAGGAAGCCGAGTGTACTGTTGCCCTTATTCACAATCTTGTCAACATGTTGGTTCCAGGAGAGGTTTCCAGACATATGGACTCCGAGGTACTTGGTTGTCGAGTCTTTCTCGAGTGTGTGGCCCTTCAAGGAGTACGGGTATATGATGGGGTTCCTCTTCCTGTGGACCCTGATTATGCTGCACTTCTCTGGGTGGAAACTCATGTCCCAGCGTTTCTCCCACAATGCCAGCTTCTTCAGGTCATCCTGTAAAATGTGGCAGTCCTCTTCAGTGGCGATTTCCCGGTATACCACACAGTCGTCAACAAAGAGCCTGGCCTTGGACGTGACATGAAGTGGCAGGTCATTGATGAAGACCAAGAAGAGTATGGGTCCAAGCACGCTTCCCTGGGGAACTCCGCTGATAACGGGTGCTGGGTCGGTTTTTGCTCCATTAACAACTACGCGCTGAGTGCGGCCTGTGAGAAATGCCTCAATCCACTTCAGGGTATATGGTTTCTGATGCCATAATGATGGAGCTTGACTAGCAAGCGACTGTGTGGGACGCGGTCGAAGGCTTTGCTGAAGTCCAGTACTGCGAGGTCATGTTGTTTACGCCGGTCCATGGACTTGGTGAGCTCATCTGTCAGCGTTAGTAGCTGGGTTTCGCAGCTCCGCCTTCTTCTAAATCCATGCTGGCTGTCGGTTAGTATCTTGTGACTGTCCAGATGATTCATTATGTTACTGACGATGATGTGCTCCAGCATCTTGCAGGCTATGCAGGTGAGGGATACCGGTCTATAGTTGCTGGCTTTGAAGCGCTCCCCTTTCTTAAATATGGCTGACACGTTGGCTGTTATCCACACCTCAGGTATGCTACCAGAAGAGAGGCACTTTTTGTAGATGACGACCAGGTATGACGAACACTGTTCAGCCATCTCCTTCAGTATGCGCGCAGAGATCATGTCTGGGCCTGCTGCCTTCTTTGGGTTGAGCTTCCTGAGTAGTGTAAGCACTCCCTTGTTGGTTATCTCTATGTCAGGCATGGTGGGGGATGGTTCGCCCTCAGGATTTGGGATGCTGGATTTGTCTTCCCTAGTGAAAACGGATTGGTATTGGTTGTTTAGGATGTTAGCTTTGTCGATTGATTCAGCGTGTAACTTGCCCTTGTCTTTCAGTGGTGAAACCCCACAGTTGTCCCTTCTCAACGATTTGATGTAATTCCAGAACCTTTTTTTGCTTTGGTGGTTGTTCTAAAGCTGGATCATTGGCATCGATTAGGTCTTCTAAGTATCGCCTATATTCTTGTCGTTCTTTCTTTTAAGTTTCTCTTTTGGCCTGATGGTATCGCCGCCTATCCTTGAGGGAACATGTTAAATCTTCCAGATAATAGACTGCAGTCAACAGTCATAAATGACAGCAGTTAGGACCTTATCCCAATTGCATACGGTGACTCCTGTATGCATCCCAAACGTACAGAAGACCTTTTCATCCCCTAAAGTGTAAAAAAACTTGTCTTTGGAATAGTTTGTCGTTCAGAATTCTGAAAAGAAATTCTGTTAAAAGATTTTATGTGCATTTTATTACATGAAAACAAAACACTAACGACTCCATTAGATATATATCATTACTTTAATACAAAACGCAAACGTAACAACTGAAACTAATTCAAAATGTTATAAATCAAATGTACACCTGTAAATCGAAGAATCTAAGGTGAAAATCCCAAAATCACACTTTTTCATGACAGTAATGCAAACTTAACAAAGGCAAAAACCGAAATGAAAATCAAAAACAAAGTCACTCATAAATGTTTATTCGTAATGTCACCGTCGGGATCTTTAGAAACGACACTATCCTCCATCAGCGTCTCTTACAGATGTACATCGTCGCCTCATAGACCTTACGGTGCGGATAGCCGCCTGTGGAATCTGACGCCATTCGGCCTGTAGTTTAGTGCGAAAACGCTGGTGAAACAGAGAAAGTGTAGACCGACGGACACCAAAACGGTTTGCGCTTTGTTTGTAAGATAGACAAGACTGAATCTGTGCTAAATCCACCCAGCGGTTATTTCTTTGTAGATCCATTGCCAAGTCTTCAGTAGTGTTTGAAATTTAGCACCTTCTACAGAGGAAAAGTGTGTATATGCAATTTCTATGTGAGCTTTTACAATTTCTAAAACTGACCATTGGCATAGTTTAATATTCATTTTCATAAAGATTTTAATTGCTCATTTGTGTCTAACATTTCTAGAAAGTTATGAAAAACAAGTTAATAATTAACAGTTTAAAAAAAAATAATAATAATTTCATGTCATAAAGTAACCATGAATTGGTCCAATTTGTTTTATCACAATTAGCCAAAAGTGTTACTTTTGATTTTTCGGGTACTGTCTTTATTATGCAATAACGTCATTAAAATGCAATCATTTTTTATAACTTTGGTATCGAAATGACCGGAATGCATTCGGTTTTATGAAACTGTGAACAAATATTTAAAAGAAATTTATTTTCCTTGTTAAAATGCATTTATCCCGACCGTGCGTTTTCATTGTCCTTAAGTATATATACTTGGTGTTTAAAATCATTTGTCCGATGTACATCTTTATGATTCATTAATCTCATTAGCTAAAGAAGTTCTTAAGTCTTCAATAACTTTCATTTTAACTCATTAAATTTTTGTTTATGCAAGTTAAAAGAGTAAAGAATTTGTTATATTAATTTAGGTAGAAAATGCATACAAATGATGCTAGTACTGCATTTTCTTCAAATATGATATTGTATAGGATATCAGATAAACTTCAGATACTTGTATAATGGAAGCAAAACGAAAGTTAATGGAGAAAAAATCTATTAATTCTTGGCTACTTATCTTTATTTTAACAGTAAGAGATCCATTTCTTCCAAATTAAATTTAATCTAAAAGGTAAAAACGCTGCGTGTCAAAAATAAATATCAACAAACAATCAACAGGGAGGTAAAAATTCTGTATAATTTATATATAATGTTGGTTTTATTTTATTATCCTTTAGATATTTCCTTGTTTTTAAATATAAGAATAAGATAATTTAATAATTAAAAATGTTAATCTATAAAAGGTAATTATTGTGATTATAAGACATACCACATGTATCAGCAATGCATACTTGAATAACAATAAGAAAATAAGACAGACACAAATGGTTAAATGGTTTCACCATTTCTTAACTTGAGTTGAGGAAGAAGTCACTGCAACATACAATTTTACATAAATACGAGCCCTGTTTTGTATTTTTAAATGATTTAAAAAAAAACCGGCAACAATTTTACAATAGAATACTTACTGACTTGCTCTCCGCAGACCAATTGGTTACTCTACAAAATGACCTAAATCGGTTAAAACAGGAGTTTTGGAGTGGGACATGGAGTTTAACCCATCCAAAATCCAAGTTATCCAGCTAACAAAAAGGAATCATCCTATCCCAACACAACAATACCATCGTGGATTGAATTAGAATCGGTTACCTCAGCTAAATACCCGGGCGTTGATATCTCAGGAAAACATAAAAAAGGATAAAAACATAACCATTTAGTTGCAATATTCCAAATATTAGTCAGACCTCAGCTTGAATAAGGTTCCCCACACCAAACATAAATAGATCAAATCGTAAATGTTCAAAGAAGAGTAGCCCAATTAAGGTAAAACCGCATTCTCCACGAACTGAATCTCCGCGGACTAAAACTCAGACGTATGCATGCTCAGTACCAGATTCATTATTGTCATTCATTAAAAGGACTGCCTAAATCACCAAGAAAGATACGCGAACGATTATCATGAAATATACTCAGAAAGAAATTGTAACGCATACATATATGGGTAATTTTCCACAATTAGAATAACCATTATGGAAAAATGCAGTGAGCAAATGATCTGAAATTTTGCACAAAAAAAAGTTATTGGTCTAGACCTACATCAAATAGAACATTAATCTCCAGTCCCGTCATGTCGAAAACCATAGTCGTGTCCCTTTATGTAAGAAAAATATACACCCTGATATACATAAAGATGAAAAGGAAAGAAAAGTATACAAGAAAATAAAATATCACCATCATCAACATCATCACCATCATCATCATCACCATCATCATTATCATCATAATTATCATCATCATCATCATCACCATCGTCGTCATCGTTATCGTCACCACTACAATCATAATTATTAATAATCTGTGTCATCATCATCAGCAACAATAATAACTTATTAACACCATTATCATCATAATAGTCATCACCATGATCATCGAAGTCGTCATCATCATCATCTTCATAATCATTATCATAACCATCACTCCCACCACCAGAATTACCACCATGATAATCATAATCATTATAGCCACAACCACCATAACCATCGCCGCCGCCGCCACCTTTACCATCGCCACCACCATTACCATCGCCGCCACCACCATTACCATCGCCGCCACCACCATTACCATCTCCGCCGCTACCGCCACCATTACTATCGCCACCGCCACCATTACCAATGTCCATCGCCGCCGCTACCACCACCATTACCATCGCTCCCGCCACCATTACCATCGCCACCACCACCACCACCACCATTGTCATCGCCACCACCATTACCATCGCCGCCGCCACCACCACCATCGCCGCCGCTACCACCACCATTACCATCGCCACCACCATAACCATCGCCACCGCTACCACCATTACCATCGCTACCACCACCATTACCCTCGCCACCGCCACCACACCATTACCATCGCCACCGCCAACACCACCATTACCATCGGCCGCCGCCACCATTACCATCGCCACCACACCATCACCATCGCCACCGCCAACACCACCATTACCATCGCCGCCGCCAAAGCCGCCACCATTACCATCGCCACCACCACCATTACCATAGCCACCGCTACCACCATGATAACCATCGCCACCACATTACCATCGCCACCGCTACCACCACTATTACCATCGCTGCCGCTACCACCACCATTACCATCGCCACCACCACCACCACCACCATCGCCGCCACCACCACCACCATTACCATCGCCACCACCACCATAACCATCGCCACCCACCACCACCATCGCCTCCGCCACCATTACCATCTCCGCCGCCACCACCACCACCACCATTACCATCGCCGCCACCACCACCACCATTACCATCGCCACCACCATTACCATCGACTCAGCCACAACCACCATTACCATCGACTCCACCGCTACCACCATTACCATCGACTCCGTCCGCCACCACCACCATTACATCGCCACCATCCTCCACCCACCATAACCACCGCCACCATTACCACCATCGCCACCGCCACCACCACCATTACCATCGCACCACCACCATTACCATCGACTCAGCCACCACCACCATTTACCATCGACTCCCACCACCCATTACCATCGCGCACCATTACCATCGCCGCGCCACACCACCGCCCCACCAACTTACCATCGCCACCACCATTACCATCGACTCAGCCACCACCACCATTACCATCGACTCAGCCACCACCACCATTACCATCGACTCCGCCACCACCATTATTACCATCGCTTCTGCTACCACCATTATTACCATCGACTCCGCCACCACCATTATTACAATCGCCGCCACTACCACCACCATCGCCACCACCATTACCATCTCCGCCGCTACCACCACTATTACCATCGACTCCGCCACCACCACCTAAACCATAGCCACCACCACCATTACCATCGCCAACGCCACCACCATAACAATCGCCGCCGCCACCACCAACATTACCATCATCATCATCAGCAGCAGCAGCAGCAGCATACCAGGCTTTCCAGAAAGAAGAACCGAAAATGCTTTCTTCCACCTGATATTATTACTCTATTTATATATGTACACTAAGGACCTCTTACGAAAGGTTTAAAAGACAAAAAAGGAGAATGTTAAAGGAATAATGTTGAAGGAACCATGGAATCAGAACCTGAAATCGATCAATAAATATCAAATCTGTTTTTATAATATTTAAACCGATACATGGATTTGTAACTGTTTGCTTTTAGCTAAATTGATCGATTCATTGTAAGCGTTAGTAAGATAAATGTACACAATGTATGCGAGCACCGTAGTAATTTAACATGCTTAATCAATTGAAAAAGTCGTGATCTTTTTCTTCTGAAAAGATCATCGTCTTTTAGGTTCTAATTATTGTTAAGAAAAATAATTTGGCAATCACAATTGATTTTTGAGATGATAAAGACTCTGTACTAGTTTATTGTGATAAGAAACAATTAAAATTATTCTTAAAATAATAATGATCTTCGTGGAATGATTGGGTACCGCATTTTCAATAAGGCTGAGTTTTTAAAACTTCCTGTTTAGAAATGAAAGGCCCTGTTCACCCGTTCTGCACTTTTATCATTGTGTCTAAGAGACGAGTAACAACACGTTTTACCAGAAGCTAAGTGCATGGTAAGTAAGTAAGTAAGTAAAGTAAGGTAGGGTAGGGTAGGGTAGGGTAAAGTAAAAGTAAAAGTTAAGTAAAGTAATGTAAGTAAGTAAAGAAATATACTGTAAATAAATAAATAAATAACCACTTAAGACACTTTAGACTCTAGGATGGACAGAATAACGCACACACACCTACTTAAAACTACCTACGCCACTAGGAACACTGTCTACTAAATACTTCTCAAACCACTAGGAACATTTCAAATTGTTTCCTGTCACAGCACTAGGAACAGGCTTTCTACTGGTCCCTACTTTTCCTACTTTTCCCTACTTTTTTCTTTTGATCCCTTCTTTGCCCTACTTTTTCTGAAATAGCCCTATTATCCCTACTTTTTCATTTTGAAATGAAATGGGAAAAAAAGAAGATATTTAAAGTGGTATTTCAGTTGTATTTCAGTTGCAATTGATTAATAGTTCAGGTGTGTGTTAGTGTCTCCTTGTGATGTCCACCCTTGAAAGACTCATGGTCAGAGCTGCATTACTGGTACTAGTACTGCAGTATATACTGGAGCAATTTTGCAAGTACTGGTACTGATACTGAATTACTCTTACAAAATTTTGCTACTACTCAGGTACTGGTACTGCATTACTGTCTTAAAAAAGTGGTACTGCTACTGCATTACTAGGCAGTATTTTTGGTTTTGATAAAAATGTCATTATTTTTACTCATAAAGTAAAGCTGTAAATTCCACGTATTATTTTATTTTTGTGAAAAAGTAAGTTATCAAATCTATAAATAATTTGCTGCAATATTCCTTCAAATGTTAACATAGTATTCATCATAAAAAAGCACCAAAGACTTAAAGTAAAATTAAATTGAGATAAACAGAGTCAATAACTCTTTACTGGTAAAATATCCTTATTGCAATCTTATTACTTTGTATTTACTAGTAAAAAAAGAGCAAAATAAACACTAATAAATTACTTCTATTCTAAATAATCATATTTCAAGTGATATTGTTAGCACCATAAAAAAGTTATTTACTTTGGTATAAATTGAACAGAGGTGTGAAGGTGTAAAAGGCAACAAAAAGACTGGTGGGTTTAACATGTAAGATTATTGCATTGTATTACAGTTGACTGCGGTTACAAAACAATAACATATGACATGAATATATGATGATTATTGTTTGTAAAAAGTATGTTCGTTCATTTAAGTTGTAAAAATGCAATGTCAACTTTAAAGTAAATGATTTTATTTCTTTGTTGAATAATGTTTGCAATTATTTTGAATGACACTGTGTATTTATTCAAACTTTGATGAATATATAAAAGTATTAGTATTGGTACTTAATTACTTCCCCCAAAAAAGTACTGGTACTGCAGTACCAAGCTAAAATCAAGTACTAGTACTGGAAATGGTACTGCAAAACTTGGCAAGTACTGGAACTGGTACTTAAGTACTACAGCCTTAGTACTGATGCAGCTCTGCTCATGGTGCCTTGGCAAAACATTCAGCAAAATTCTGCCTATGAGGTGCATGTCTTTCAAGCATGGACTGAACTGAAGATACACACAGCCTGGTGTGGTCTTGGTGATGGTATGTTTTGCTAATTCTTAACTAAAACGGTAAGAAATTCATACTTTGTCCCTAGTTTTTAACATCAGAAATCCCTACTTTGCCCTACTTTTTGGTAAAAAAATGCCCTACTTTTTCCCTAGTTTTTTTGGTAGAAGCAGTAGAAAGCCTGTAGGAACAATATTCATTAAATGCTACTCACCAACACTAGGAAAATTTCCCACTGTATGTACTTTTTACGCCACTTGGAACAATACCCACTGTATAATACTCACGAAACTACAAACATTAATTCTTATATACCACTCATGCCCCCACTGCAGACCACTCAAGTCACTAAAACAATACTCACTGCATATCACTTAAGCCACTAGAAAAATCAAAATACACACTATATACCACTCACGTCACTAGAAACAATACCCACTGTATACAACTCACGTCACTAGAAACAATACTCACTGCATACAACTCACGTCACTAGAAACCATAACACTGCAGACCACTCAAGTCACTAAAACAATACTCACTGCATATCACTTAAGCCACTAGAAAACTCAAAATACACACTATATACCACTCACGTCACTAGAAACAATACCCACTATATACCACTCACAACACTAGAAACAATACACACTGTATACCACTCACGACACTAGAAACAATACACACTGTATACCACTCACGACACTAGAAACAATACACACTGTATACCACTCACGACACTAGAAACAATACACACTGTATACCACTCACGACACTAGAAACTTATACCCTGCATACTTCTTACGACAATAGAAACTTTACACACTGCATACCGCTCACGTCACTAGAAAGAATACTCACTGTATAATACCACTCTCGCCACTAGAAACTTATACACTGCATACTTCTCACGACTGTAGAAAATTTACAAATTGCATACCACTCATGTCACCAAAAAAATACTCAGTGCAAACCACTCACACCACAAGAAACAATAGTCAAGGCTTACCACTCACGTTAGTAGGCACTTTAAACATTTCATATCATTCACGCCCTTAGGAACATAGCCCACTGCATACTGTACACGGCACCATCTTCATTGCTCAGCACATAATACTTATCCCATGCCACTGCATAGTGATATAATCTTCAACGACGTAACATGAGATCTGGCGGCTGTGGACCTGAGATGAAATATCACTGATTTTAGACTGATTTTTCCCAGGCAATTAATAAAATCCTAAAATATATTTGTCAATGCGATACACTTGGACTGAAAATGATAACAGTCACAAAAAGACAACCACTAAGATTAAAAGGTTTTGTACATAACTAATGTCGTGAATATTTTTATGTTTGTAGTGTGGCTGATTGTTTATTGTGTTAACTGCCATATTCTACCGAAGTCTGACGGAATTGATTATGGAAATTATAGTACATGTATATTAGATGCAGGTTTTGAAATAACTGTTGAAGCTTTCACATAAATAACCTTTTGTTGGCGGTCAAATTGAATAATCAATGTAATACTATAATTTTCATGCAATGCATATTGTGCCGAGAAGAAAGTAACAAAGGTGTTTGTGAATGTTTTCCCCCAAATGGATACATGTTTGCCGTGTGTTATGCAACAAATTTCTGACTACGATCAATATTGTCAACATGATCCCTGCATGTGACATAGACCTTTGACCTTATGATAAAAAGGGTCATACTATATTTTTTCCAATGAATGTAATAGCGATTTATTGCTTTATTAATTCCACAAGCTTTTTTGGCGGGGGGGGGGGGGTCATCATGATTAGAAAATCAATAAGGGTCATCTACAAGTTATGATGAAACTTGCAGTCATATTAGAGTACTGTAGGCTAGTTTTTGCGGCGAAGGTTAAGTTTGACCAGTGACCTTTGACAAACTGACCTCAAAAACCAAAATCGAGTAAGAAATCATCAACCGGCAAAGACTAACCTCCCAAGCAAACTGGCGTCCGCTTCTTCTTAATTTCACTTCAATCTTGCCTCCGCTTCTCTTAATTCCACCTCTTACCGGCCTCCGCATCTTCTTAATTCCATCCCTAACCGGCCTCCGCATATTCTTAATTCCATCCCTAACCGGCCTCCGCATCTTCTTAATTCCATCCCTAACCGGCCTCCGCATATTCTTAATTCCATCCCTAACCGGCCCCCGCATCTTCTTAATTCCATCCCTTACCGGTCTCCGCATATTCTTAATTAAACTCCTTACCAACCTCCGCATCTTCTCAATTTCACTCATTACCAGCCTCCGCAGCTTCTTAATTCCACTCCTTACCGGCCTCCGCATCTTCTTAATTCCACCCCTTACTGACCTCCGCTTCTTATTAATTCCACCCCTTACCGGCCTCTGCATCTTCTTAATTCCACCCCTTACTGACCTCCGCTTCTTATTAATTCCACCCCTTACCGGCCTCTGCATCTTCTTAATTCCACTCCTTACCGGCCTCCGTTCCAGCGATACTTCAGATCGTTCCCTTATGGTGCTCCTCAAAAGTAAAAAATTCTGCAATGATCGCGTGAACGGGGTCTGCGGCCTTTTTTGCATAAAAGCCAAATATCGATTACGTTATTATCTTTTTTTTTACCGTAGCTTTATTTGTTTTACTGAAGGGCATCTAAAATTTGGAAATGTTATCTATATTGAAGTATTGATGTGTACTAATTTATCGTGTGACGGTGCACAAAGATCTTTAACCGGTGTTGTAAGATAAATAAATTTGTTATTTGTTATTTGTTGCAGGATATTGACAAGCGGTGTTTTCTTTCAAAAATATTTGGAATGTAGTTTTTGAAAAAATAAAAAATATCCAAATCAAAAGGTGAGACGAAACTTTATTTTGTAATTCAATATAAATATTAATATAACACCAATTTGGCCCACTACAGAAAGAAACCCAACCGGTAAAAAATATTATCATTTATTAAATATACTATTATTCATATAAATATTCCTTATTTACAGTTTCTTGCGAAAGTATAACAGTAATATTTTCTTAACTAATTCAAAACATTTAGACAGGACTGATTTTAAGAAAATATAAATGCTAGAGGCATTTTATAGTACAAGTAATATCTTGAGACTTTTAACCTAATATGGGTTTGCTGAAGACGATGAGGGTGGATACCAAGATAATAAAATTGACCTTGACCTTCAAAAGGTCAATTCAAAATGGCCGCTTAAAAATACTAAAATAGGTCATTATAACTATGATACAATATGATGCAATTAATTAGTCTTGTCAAAATCAAATGATTATTCAATATGATCAGATTTTAATTAGATTAGCCACCAAATATAACGATAATAAGCCCAATGGCTCAATAAACAGTAATATACAGTACTGTTTTACTAGCGCGTTAAGGTATAAGACTAAGATTGAAAAAAAATCACTTTTTATGTTTTGTTTACTTGACTTATATTTTTTAAACAATAAACTTAGTTTCAAATCCTTCTTTATAAATATTACCAAAGAATGAATATTTCATAATAACAAATTAATATTTCGTAACTAGAATTCCGGGTACCCTCCAATAAATCCAGGATATCTTAAAGTTACAGCAAAGTTATCTATAAAAATATTACTTGTAATAAATCGAGTAATATTTACTCTGACCATATATAAAAGTCACGTGGGTTGGCTACATAGTAGAGGTGTTAAAATATAATTGTAATACACCCTTTGTTAGCCATTGAAATAGTATTTAATGTATAAAGGACTTTCAAAAATGGTTATTATTCAGAGCGGGCGCTATGGTGCAGTGGTAACACTGTCTGCCTACAAATCAAGGGGTCGTGAGTTCGATCCCCCGCTACTCCACTGAACGAATAAATGACTACAAGACTGATTGACACAGAATGACGTCAACCATAGTATACAAGAGAAGACCTTAACGGAACAGGAAACAAGTACCGAAAGTACAAGACCGAAGACGACGACCGATAACAGAAGGAAGAACGGAGACAAGAACTGACAACAAGCGAACAGAAACGAGGACCGATAACAGAAGAACAGAGACAGGGGATAACAGAAAAACTGACGACAAGCGAACGGTGACGAGGACCGATAACAGAAGGACAGAGACGAGGACTGAAAACAGAAGAAGAGAGACATGGACCGTGAACACAAGAACAGACAACAAGCGAACAGAGACAGGGACCGATAACAGAAAAACTGACAACAAGCGAACGGAGACGTGGACCGATAACAGAAGAACAGAGACGAGGACTGAAAACAGAGGAAGAGAGACAGGGACCGATAACAGAAAAACTGACAACAAGCGAACGGAGACGAGGACCGATAACAGAAGAACAAAGACGAGGACTGAAAACAGAGGAAGAGAGACAGGGACCGATAACAGAAAAACTGACAACAAGCCAACAGAAACGAGAGAAGAAGAGAGACATGGACCGTGAACACAAGAACTGACAACAAGCGAACAGAGACGTCGACCGATAACAGAAGAACAGAGACAGGGACTGATAACCGAAAAACTGACAACAGGCGAACAGAGACGAAAACCGATAACAGAAGAACAGAGACAAGGACCAAAAACAGAAGAACAGAGACAGGGACCAATAACAGCAGAACTGACACGAGGACCGATAACAGAAGAACAGAGACAGGGACCGATAATAGAAGAACTGACAACAAGACAACGGAGAGAGGATTGATAACAGAAAAAAAAGAAACGAGGACCAATAACAGAAGAATTGACAACAAGAAAACGGAAACCAGGACTGATTACAGAAGAATAGCTTTGGGAACCGATGATAGATGAACGGAGAAGAACGAAGACGAGAACCGATAACAGAGACGTGAACCGATAACAGAACATCTGACAACAAAAGAACTGAGACCAGGACCGATAACAGAAGAACGAAGACGAGAACTGATAACAGAAGAACAAAGACGACGACCGAAAACAGAGACGTGAACCGATAACAGAACATCTGACAACAAAAGAACTGAGACCAGGACCGATAACAGAAGAACGAAGACGACGACCGAAAACAAAAAACGAGCATCAAACCCCAAGAGTACTCAGGGAAAGTTGCCTTTAGTTAATGTATATTTTGCATGCACATGTTTAACCTCCTCACACATACGCAGTAGGAATCTGAGTAGTCACGTTGTATGCTTGCATAGAGAGCCAGATAAAATACATGAAAGCCCTATATCAAGCAGATAGGGCAGGGAAGAGTGAAGTGTTCGCTGCGTAAACCCTAAATACAGGTCTCTTATGTTTAAATGCCTTAAAATTTTCAATACTATCTTTAATATTACTTCTATATTAGTATTATATTGGCCTATAGAAAAATGTCCACCATCTTGGATTATTCGGCCATATTGGATTGTTTTGTTTTTTTAATTCTGGTTGGTGTCTAATTTGTTTTTACCTAAACATGCTTTGTGACAAATTTCAGGCTTTTCCTTTCCTTAAAAGTTTTATTTGATATATCATCCATTTGATATATCATCCATTTCATGTTAAAGAAATTTGGCGCCCATTTTAGTGGTCATTTCAAATGGCCATTTCAATGGTCAAGATCAAGTTTTTCAATTTGGTATCCACTTTTACCGGATTCAGCATACCTTAAATAGGTTAAATACACCAAGATACCACTTGTACTACAAAATGCCTCTAGCATCTTATAGGGAGCCAAATTCTCAAAATCAGTCCTGTCTAATTGCTGGCAGAGTGGAGTTACCCAAGTGTTAGATTGAAGCTAATTTTGAGATCATAATTATACTCCTTATATTTTATACCACAGACATTCAGAGCTTTGTATATATCTCATTGAAAGCTGATTATTTTTTTACTGTAGATTTTGATTTCTTGTTTTATGGTCTCTTTTTGCTTAGTGTTTGTTTAATTAAAATGTCCATTTTTGCCTATTTGTGCGTATTGCGTTTAATCATTTTATTTCAGTTTTGTTTTAAAGCTGCATGCCTCCAGATGAGCCAAAAGTGTAAAGAAATTCAAAAGAATTACAAAGATTTATTTAAAAAAAAATAAAAGAGTAAAAATGTTTACAAATGAAGTAGAAATTTCGTTATGCATGCAATAAATGACAGATTTCGCAGTATTAAACATCATGACTAACTCAGTAAGGGCAATTTTGTATATTTTGACTTTTATTTAGTAATTAACGCGGATCGAAAGTGAAGTTTGTAATTTGTAAATTACTTTGTTTGTTCTCTTGAAAATATATTTTTTTATACATTTTCAAAACTATCATTAAAATTAGCATGAATCTGGAGGCATGCTGCTTGAATTTTTTAACTGTAAAGGTCAACTTTCCAACTTAACGGGCAAAACAAAACCTCAGGTGTTCCTCCGCCATGAACATCAACTTAGCCATTTAAAACGGGAAAATATGCCAAAGTTAATAAACAGTATACTCAGAATTAAATTGAAAATTGATTTTTTATGCTTTTCATCGACTGATTTAAAATAAAAACTTTTGACCGCTTTTCATTTTAAAGTCATTATAATCATTCTGGAATCCGAGTGAATGATCTGAAATTTTTACGCACATAAATAGTTCCGGTCCCGTCAATTAAAGAAAAAGCTCAGTGGAGTTCCTTTAAGCATTTAAAAGTTTTATATATAAATTTAAATGGTTTATTAAGATATTTGATTATTGATTAATTCACGTCAATGACTAAAATTGACAGTTCGATCTTTCATATATTTTCAGGAAATAATGCAGGCTCCGGTAAGTGTGTGTGTGTGTGGGGGGGGGGGAAGAGGGGGTGTTTGAATGTTATTACGTATTTATTCTTTTGCCCATTCTCTATGCAATATTCAATACATACATTATTTTCAGATGATTTTTTTCGTCTAAATTTTAAAACATTGATATAAATAAACTCTAGATTATTATCAAGAAACAAAATACATGTACCAAATAATTATATACGTTTTGATCAAGTTTATGTTGGCCTCCTACCACGTAGATCAAGTACATTGTTAGTAATAATAAACTTATGGATAACAAATGGCGACTACAGAAAGACAAACGCATATCTTAGATCTTTTCAAGGGCATTCATTGTGGTTTAACTGGGAAAAAATTGTCATCAGACTTAAAATCTTATTCATATAAGACTTACCAAATATAAACCTAAATCAAAGGGCTGCAAAGCTCTGTGGTATTTTCTGATCTTTGCAATCTAAATCATTACAGCGACTGCGTTTAAATTTTTTTCTATAACAGTTTGAGATTGATACATATGGAATTTTGCATGACTAAAGTTGTATCAAAAAATCATTTTTCATTTTTTATGACAGCCACACTTTATCCTTGCATATCGTGGCTACTTCCTTAAAAAGACACTTCAAAAAAAAGTTGCCTTGACTAGGATTTTGAACATTAGGCCTCTCTCACCCTAAACAATATATTTGAAAAAAAAAACCAACAAGCAAATAGTGCCAGTCCAAACTTTAAAGTCTCTGTTCTTTTCCCAATATCATGCTGACAATAAATAGAACCGTCAATTCAGGATATTTTGATGACGAATGTCGAACAAAAATTGGTTCACTGCCAACACTTGAAATATTCGATTATTGCAAAAAGACAGGAGAGATATCTCACAGTGAAGTTTAAATAACATATTTTTTAAATACCTTTTCACAAGGTTAGATAAACGGCACATAACATAAAGAAAACACATTGTCAGTCGTCCAATTACAACATAATTATTACTTCTAAAGTAAACTTACTGGTAAATTTATTTTACGAACTTAAATAACCTTCTCTAGTACAATTTGTTTTCCGACAATCAAATTTTAGAATTTAGACGAAAAAGTAACCATTCAAGCGTTCTTTCTCTTCTCATTTTTATATCAATCTTTTGCATAATATGCATGTTATACATATATAAATTATGATGTCATCAAAGTTATAATCTAATTTTATATTATCATGAATTTCATTCGATTTTTGTTTCAGTTTTTAGATTTAACAAAGCAAAACAGAATTTATTTCCGACTGAATATAGTTAAGTTCTATGTATAAATACATCGAATAAATAGAGACTATTCAAGATTTATTTTCATCGATAGTTTTGAAAATAAATAGTTCATGAGTGGCAGTAGCCACGAGTGAAATAAGATAATTTTCATACCACAGGATGAAAACAAATCCTGTATTTATACAAAACACTTGAATTTTCTGCTTATTATATACATTTCTTTTTTGACATTACAATTTGAAAGACTTCACCTTAAATTTTGTGTACTGACGGAATTTAGAAGAAAGAAGTCTGGCAAGATACCAGTAAAACACGTAAAATAGATGATTTAAAATATAAAATTTATAACCTTGAAACTCAACATTAAGTTTCTTATGACTTTCATGTATTTGGATATTTAACCATTTACTTCATATAGACGTCTTTTGACGGCTTTTCGACCCCCCCTTTTTGAGGCCCCAAACAGTGAAAATTACCTTATTTAGACCCCAAATACTGCTTTTCGTTTGGGAAATGTTGCTAAAAAAGTGAGGTTAAAAATTACTCCAGGTCGATCATAAGGTAATGTGTAACCAACGCTGAAAAGCCTTTGACTCTATTTCAATCCATTGAGAAGTTGCAGCACTTTGAATCAATTTTGATGGAAAATATCAACGCAAAACAGTGATTTTTTTTGCCATTTTGAGATGTCCCCTCGTTGCCAGGGTAACAGGAAATTTAAGACTGAGCATGTCGTTACAAAAGCAATGGTCCAGTCAACATTTGTGCCAAGTTTGATTAGTATTGAAGCATTTTTTCATAGCTTCATAGCAGTTGGAACTTGTAACAGGAGGCTTTTCAATGAAAACGGTCATTTTTCACAATATGCTCATGAGGGAAATGGTGAACATGAACAAAATAATTCAATGAAGAAATTCAAATGTATGTATATATACATCTATAAGCGGTCATTTTAATAAATGTAGTTGTCCAGAAATGATGGACATTATCATTATACACTGTACTCTATAAATGACAATATTGGCATCAGTATAGAATAATATGAGGTTAAAATACATTGTTGAGTTCAATACTGAATTCTATTGGATGAGTAAACAGCTGTAAAATCTATATTGGACGGGGCGCTAGCCGAGGCTGATATAGGTTGTGCAGCTTTGTTCGAGTGCAATAAAACCAGCATTGTTCTCAACGATATACACTCACCTCTTATTATGACCCTTTAAATGACCCCTTTATTTCACATATTGTCATAACTTGTTTACATGTTCTTCAAATAATAATTTTATATGACTTTTTGGAGTATGAAAATGACAAAGAGGCTAGATGGAGTACGATATGCGTTTGATAAAGATATTTTTGGCTCTGAAAATGAAAAAATGAAAACGAAGCTATATGGTGTACGATATGCATTTGGTTTAAATATTTTGGACTCTAAAAAATAAAATATAGGGATTGGTAAGCATTTGATTTGGATGTTTTGAAATTGATACGAGGCTAGAATTCAGATTGGATCTGATAATGATTTCGCTTCTTATATCACGTTGTGCTTATTGGTTTTTTAGGTGTTAAATAATATGTTTTCCTACGTATGCACTGCGTTTTTGTTGTTGTTTTTAACGAGTTTGCACGGACTATTTAATCGTATTTTTCGTGGTAAAATATTACAAATATAGGATTTTAACATCATATTGTCAAATTGAACTATTTACATCTAAAACTTTATATTTCACAACTTCTTCACATTTTATATCCAAATTTTTACAAACTTGTCAAATAACAAATGATACTAGTACTTCAAGTGGAAAGTATGTTGTAGTGCAGTAATTAGATTTCTTTTGTTTTTAAATAAAAAAAATGAAGTATCGCACCGGCACTTAAAAAGCCCATTATGCCCTAGATGCTTTTATTTTTATTTTTCAAATCTTTTTATTTATGTTTTTTTATAGTTTCTTATACTCGTTTGCCAATTACCTAAACTGTTCTTCTCTTTTGTTTCTTTATTGGAATTAATACATTTATATTGATTGAATATTTTGTATGGAAGTCAAAATACTACTATGCTAACATTTTGCCACTAATTCTTTTATGGCAAATTATTTCACATTACATGTAATCGCTTCTTTTGTCAGGTAACTTGTAAGCATTTAAAATGTTCTGAAACCAGTATTTAAACTTAAAAGACTCATGTTTGACCATTCTAAAGAAGTAAATATTTTTTCGTTTGTAAGGCATAATGTGCCTTTAAAAAGATTCGAACTAAGGAAATTTACACTAATTTAAAAACTCTTTACAGGAGCGTGGACGGAAGTTGGTAGATGCCCTGTTATGTGGGAAAGATGAAGAGGCGATCAAACTGTTAGAAGGGAAAGTTGACTTTTCCATTGAAAACGTAATTTCCTTTTTTTCTTGTTAAAGTTTTAATAAGTAAAATGTCCTAATCGTGTATAGGCCTACACTTCAATGGGGTTATAAATCATATCGGCATTTTATATAGATTAGCTAAACATTGTTTTTATTTACGTTTATTTTAATCAAAGTTTATAATGCAATCATTTTGCCATTTTTCAAAGGCTTTACTTTTTTTCCTGCACGGAGTGCGCGTGCTCATCATACTTAAATAGCTTAAAGTGACATTATGCCCATCCAAGGATAGATAGTGAGTGAATAGGTGAAAGTCAAAATAAGTTTTAATTTTGTCATAATTCCTTTTAATTAATAATTTACTTTGCATAAACATTAACTAACGTAAGGATCCAAGCAAAATTTCTGTAAATATCCATTACAATTTGCCTGTAACGTTCAGATTATAAAAGGAGTGGGGCAGTCTTTTTATTCTTTAGGCATATTTAAATTTTATCCTATACATTTTCCAGTAACAACTGTTGGTCAAACACCATTTTAACAGTCAAACTTTTGAAATATAAAGACAATTCAGCTGAAAATAACTATAATAATATGTGCATAATGTCACTTTAATATGTGCAATAGACGGAAATATTTATTGCTATAATTCAAGCATGCATATATTCTATACTTGAGGACTTTATAAAAGGCATGCCTGTTTTATATGGCTTTTCACACGAAACTAAAAAAAAAAGGATTTAGCTAGTCTGACCTAAATTTTCTCATTCCGACTTTAATTCAATATAGGGAAAACTTCTTCAATACTATTGAAACATCATGTCGCGCATATAAGTGTAACAAATTTATCGGTGCAAAGCGTAAAATACATTTGCAAAACGGACACCTACTTAACAAAATAATTGTAGTTTTATCATTTGTAATACATTCCGTAGGCCTGTTCTCATTGTCGATAACGAAATGCAATACGTCAAAATTGGCGGTAATTAAGTTCCACGGGGCTGAACATTAAATGACTGAACGAAACGATTACGTTACTTGCAGCTTAACCAATTATGATATAATTTTAAAAATTTAATGTTCAGAATAAAAGACATTTTTAAAACGGCATTGTCGCAAATTGTTGTTAGTTTGTAAATAAGTAACAAAGGAAGCCATGCAATTTGAGCATATGAAAAAAGTAACCACCCCATTAGTTTCGAATAGGTGCTAAAATGAAGCATTTATAGACTTTTATTACATTTTCCGCTTTCGTAGAATCAATAAGAGTCTCTGCTATTGACTTAAGTTGTTTACAAGGTCACTTGTGTGTATTCATAATGATAAAAGAAGTCGCAAACAAAAAGTGTTATTGGACGTTACTACCATACTTAAGGGGGCAATACGCAGTTTTCAAGGCTTTTCGGCAAACAACTGACTGCGCCACAATCAAAACCTCACACACAAGTCTGTAATCACACACCTGAAATAAATGCATTTCATATTTAACATATACATATGTATCTCACAGCAAACAATTAAAAATACATGTCCACCTTCTAGTTTTCTGGCACATAGCCCTGTGTTTTTCATTGTTTTGGTCGCGAAAATCAACGACAAAATAAGCGGATTACCCCTATTCGCAAAATACAACAATATATTAACGTCAAGAGATTAAATCACAAACTATAGTGTTTCTTCCTTCTTAAACAATGCACAATCTGAAAATAACATCCAAACGGGGTGCCATCTACCTACTTTTTTCACTATTCTAAGTCTTCTGCATACCCTTTAAATTGAAGAGCTGATTCACCGGCTAGCTCCAAAAGCCGCACGGTCGCATCCGACAGGTACTCTCTCAAAAAACCAAGGGTCAACGCCACTAAATTCAATTTTACTAAATAAATGAAACACAATACATCTACATCTACATCTACATCATACTGCTTAACAATCAATTCTGATTATGACTAGCAGGCGCGTTGTCAGGGAACTGTTAATAAAAGAATTTATTTATATGCAAATTAAAAAGTTAAAAGAATAAAAGTTCTACAAGACTATTAATTTAAAAACATAGTGTGCAGTTTAGAATTTATAGAATGGGTCAAGCCTCTCAGTAAAGATGTTTAAACTGGGGCTGGACTGAACAGTTAGGGGAAGGCTATTCCAAAGACGTATGCTCCTAGGAAAGAAAGAATTTTGATGATATTGTGTCCTCGAGTAGGGTATCAGGTAGTTCAGATTTCTTGTTTGAGTAAGGTGTTGGTGGTCTACAAAAACAATGTTGTTTTGGATTTTATACAAGTAGGTTACAGCACTGATGTTTCGACGCTGTTCAAGGGTTTGCCAATTAAGATCATTTATCATTTTTGAGACACTACTTGTATAGTCATAATCATTAAAAATGTATCTAGCAGCTGATCTTTGTACTTGCTCTATCTTATAAATTAAGTATTTCTGCCAAGGATGCCAAACTATGGAGCAATATTCAACCTGAGGTCTAACATAGGTCTTATATGCAGTTTCTTTTATCTTTTTATTTGGAGTTTTAACATTTCTTCTAATGAATCTGAGGGAGTTATTTGCTTTGGATGTGATGTTGTTTATATGTTTGGTCCATGAAAGGTCTTGACTAATAGTGACTCCTAAGTATTTCGCTTCTTGAGTTGAGTTAAGTTGGATGTTATGGAGGGTATAAGGAAATATTACAGGGGTTCTTTTTCTTGTTATCCTGAGAACTTCACATGTGTCAGGGTTGAATTCCATGGACCAGTCTTTTTCCCATTTTTCTAAAGCATGAAGGTCATCTTGGAGGGTTTGGGCATCTTGTTTAGATCTGATGGTTAGGTACTAGGTAGACAACAGTATAATCTGCAAAGAGTCTAACCTTACCTTTGACACTATCTGGGAGGTCATTGATGTAAGAAAGGAAAAGACAGGGACCTAATACCGAGCCTTGGGGGACACCTGAGAGAACTGGTAGAATTCCTGATTTTTGACCTTCAACTACAACTTGCTGGGAGCGTGACTTAAGGAAGGAATGGACCCAATTTGTAACCTCATAACTTATACCCAATCTTTCTAGTTTACTCACAAGTTTGTGATGGTCCACCTTATCAAATGCCTTACTGAAATCCATGACTATGACATCAGTTTGTTGGCCACTTTCAAGATTGTCATGAATTTCCTGGGAGAAGCTTACTAGCTGGGACTCACAACTCCGTTTTGACCTGAAGCCATGTTGATAGGGGCTAAGGATGTTGTGTTTATCATAAAAGGACATAATATTGGACACTAAGATGTGTCATTACTAGTCATTAAAACTTGAAATATAGTAACTATAAACATTTAGAACCTCAAATATCCACTTCAATTTCAAAACTGTCTCTTATTTGTAAATTTGACCCTGGCCAATTCGAAACTAAACGGCCGAAACTGTGTACTGCCTCCTTACGCATAATTTAATAGCTGAACTGCAATGAAAAGGCAACTGCGTCGTATCATATTTTATTTTCAACTGCGTCGTATCATTACGTACAAATTATTTTCTTGGAAAATAAACATTTCTTTTAAAGAAATTTTAGTAAATGATGCGAAATTATATTTTGAAGTTTATGGTGAACTCTGAAACGAGTCTATAATTAATTTTAAGGAAAAAACGATAGATACAGCAATATGAACTGCGTCGTATCCACACAACTTCATAGAAATTCTGCTCCGCTTCGAGTTGCAAGTTCGCTATAACTTTGGTTATACAAAATAGTTGTGTGAGCAACATATACCGAACGAAGCGGAAAATAGTGGAGCGTGTTTGTACATTTATTGGGTTTTCAGTCATTTCCAACAAAAGAGTTATAAACAAAACATACCTTTTTCGTTCCAAGATGGCGGCGTTTGTTTACATTTTGTAGGATACGACCCAGCCCTGCACTGGCTAGTTGTTGGTAGGTCGTTGACGGTGCCAGTAGTTAGCGCTGAGGAAAATCGATGTACATTAAAACGGTGTACACCTGCCTGTATCATTGTTTGGGATATCTTGATAGCTTATACTCTTTAAGACATGCTTTATTACAAAGATTGAAAAATTCGACAAAAGCGGTTCAATTTTATAAATACAAATTGGTCTGCACGATCTTTTATGATGATATTGACCAGTTTCCATTTCATATATTATAACATTGAGCAGAAAACATAGATTATTATGCTCCCCGAAAAATTACGGGGGAGCATATAGTCGCCGGGTTGTCCGTCCGTCCATACGTACGTACGTCCCGAATTCGTGTCCGGCCAATAAATTTGTTAATTGAAGTCGGATTTTACAACTATTTCACAGAAATTATCACCATATTGAAACGACGCGTCGCGCGCAAATTTGGGTCGCTACCTTGAAGGTCAAGGTCACAGCATACCCTTGAGGCAAAATCGTGTCCGGCCCATAACTTCGTTATTTGAAGTCGGATTTTACAACTATTTCACAGAAATGATCACCATATTAAGACGATTTGTTGCTACCTTGAAGGTCAAGGTCACAGCATGACCTTGAAGCAAAATCGTGTCCTGCTCATTACTTCGTTATTTGAAGTCGGATTTAACAACTATTTTACAGAAATGATCGCCATATTGGAACATAACTCTGAAACTACAAAAGATATACTTTTCTGTGTCCAAAACCTAGCCGGGGAGTATCACCCGGTTCAACCGTCTCTTGTTAAATTGTTGAAATCGATTATTGAAAACTGTGAAAAAAGTTTTAAAAAAATATAATACGAACATATAACAACGCTACAGTTAAGGAATAAAAACACACCTTTTCAGGTAACATGAAGTTTGTTATGTTTACAGAAGAAGTTAAAAGTGTTAATTTCCATTTTTGGAGCATGCATTTTTATCATGCGATTATTTTTCATAATTACTAAATCAAGTTAAAATATTTTGTTGGGTTAAAACAATTGTGTAATAATATATTGTCATTATAAGCTACTTGTTTGTGAAAACACTCTTATACAAAACGTGCGTATATTTATTATTTCAAATATATAAACATGTAATTTAGAAGCCATATTTTCCATTTGCTGACATGGGCCTGTGTCAACGCGCATTTTAATAAGAACTAATTATTTATGCGTATTATCATAAAAAAGTCCAGAATAGTCAAACGAAATATCAGACTGGGAATCGAACCGGTGCTATATTTAGAATTGTTCTACTTATTCTGTGTGTTTTTATTAAGCTAGACTGGGTTCTTATTTTTACCTTCAATTTTTATAAATAATACAGAGAGGTGACAATGCCATTCATTTGGCGGCAAGGAGAGGTAAACTGAAAGTCGTTCAGCAGATGAAGAAAGTTAATGTTGACCTTGAACAGAAAAATGTTGTAAGTAAAAATTTAAAGATATTAAATATCTATGATATTTGGCGAGTTAAAGTTTAAAGTTATATAATATTTATGATATGTGGTGAGTGTTTAACAGTTGACGATATTTTCCATAATTCCTTAATTATGATGGTATTGACAATAATTCGTACGTTTATGATATAATACTATATCAGATGATATTAATGTTTATTTTATTCTTTATAATATTTGTCAGAATTTGCCAGGTTATTATATTGTTCAGCGTATAATGTGTATGTTTATGCTATTTCTCAGAATTTGTATGTTTGTAAATTAGTTTATTGCTTATAATGTTTGCCAGAATTTGACAGATAATGGATATGATATGTTTATTGAATTATTTATGATATTTGTCAGAATTGTCATGTTTATTGCATTAGTTTATGATATTTGTCAGAATTTGACAGTTTATGGTATTAGACAACATTTGTTTACGGACTATTTCGACCAGATCAGTTTATGGTATTAACCAGAGTTTGTTCGTTTTTGGCATTGACCAAGAATTTCATAGTTTACAGTTTTGGCCGAATTCTGACTAGAATTTGTTTGTTACCGATATTGACAAGAGTTGCCTGTTTATCGTATTGAAAGGAATTTATTCTCTTTATGACTATGACCATTATTTGTCACTTTATGACACTGGTCAACCTATTGAGAATATAAAATGCAAATTGTAGGGTCAGTCCTGATCAAAACCCACACCCTAATTATTATACAGTTTGTCACAAGGGCAGGCATAGAAATGTTCTAATTTGAATGATTCAAAAGCAGAGTTTCTTGTCTTGGTTTAAAGACAAACTTTTTAAATTCTTAAAGGCCCATCATGCCTCAAACATGCTTTCATTTTTTTCACACATAAACTTATTTTTTTGTATCTTGTTCCCCCCCCCCAAAAAAAAAAAATACTCATTTGCCACATAAATTTAACTGCTTCGTTTGCTTTATTAGCAATTGGTATAATTAAAGTGAATTAGTATTTTGTATGGAAGTCAAAATACTACTTTGTTTACATTTTGCTACCTTTACAACACATTACCGCACATTCAGCGCTACTTTCTTCAGTTGTTAAACATCTAACATGCTCTAAATCAATTATTAATACATTATTAAACACATGTTTTGACATTCATTTTTAAGAACCTCATAAATATAGATTTTTGGGACATAAAATGTGCCTTTAAATTACATCAATTATTCAATAAATTTTGTTCCATATTCTTAGATATGAAACTGGGGCAAATACATCATTATATAAAGTAAATATAAGTGCAAACCTTTGAAAAGTTCAACTAACTGCTTATCAGAGATAAGAAAATAGTTGTAAATATAGCTGTATCAAGTTTGAATTATGCACATATAGATAAGAGCGCATATTCGAACATGTCTATTGTGTCATAATATTTGTTTTTTGCTATGTGGGTCTAGGTTTAAGTCACACCGGTCTTATTAATTAATGTCGGTTTAGTATCTCGAGGCACTGTTAAGGAAGTTCGCATGAATTCAAATGAATACCTCGGGGATAATTATTAATCTTCCGTAATCTATAGCTGGGTAGCTCAAATGGCTATAAGCACAGATTATCGGCGTGGTACCAAGCCCTACCCCAAGGGTACCCCCAGGACCCTCTATACTACCCAAATATACTTCAACCAATTCAAAATGCATGTCAACAAAATAAAAAAAATCTAACAAAAATATATTACTGATGCATGTACTTTAAAATCATAGTTTATAGTATTTTATAGTATCAGTAATATATTTTTGTGGGTTGAAGTGAGTTGAAGTATATTTGGGTAGTATAGAGGGTCCTCGGGATAGGGCTTCGTACCATGCCGATAACCTGTGGTTAAAAGTTATATTGTGTATTCATCACAAAGGATAAGCCTGGTGGATTGATGTATGCAATATCAGCATAATATACCGGAAGGTCAATTAAGATTGATACCAATTGGTTATTGCACTGTTCACTTGATTTCTCTCTCTATCAATATTTCATTTTTAAAACTATTACACTTTTACTGTTGTCAGTCAGTCAGATGACTTCTACTGTAATTTCTGGATTTTCGAAATAAGTGTAATGCATTGCTTTGTTCAACATTTTAAACGATTATAACAAAAAGGGACAGAACAAGGGCTATAACCCGGGATTCCCGTGTTCTAGTGTTACACTCCCCTTGCCGCATTGGGTTCGAATTATGGCAATGATTTGGAATTGTTTGCTATGAGAAAGCTATCCGGCTAGCTTTTGGGTGCTTTTGAGTTCAACCTTTACAGTCTTGATATGACTTTTTAAAGCACAAACTGAAAAACGAAAAAGTAAAGGGCCATACTCTCTGAAACAAACTTGAACAAGATAAAATGTACAGTAGGAAATTCAATATCCTACATTCACGATAAAGGAAACCTTTTGATACAGATTAGAGTTATGGCCCATTTTGTAAATACTGAACACGAGTGCAATATAGTATTTGATGTGCATTCGGATATAGGCAATTTCGGATGTAAATATTTTTGCGTGTGCTTTGTTTACAGATGATTTTGTTTTCTTACAGCATGGTAATGTTCCTATGCACTATGCAGCCAAGGGAGGCTATCTGGACCTGGTTCGGTACCTAAAAGAAAACGGCGCTAATTTAAATATTCAGAATAACGTAAGATATGATAGTACATGTATTTACATAACGTTTAACTATTTCAAATGGTAATTTTAACTTTCAAGTGGCAATTTTTACATAGCTTTGTATTTTTAGTAAATTTTACATGTCATTCTTGTGATTTTCATATTAAAGTAGAAAATTACATATATCATGAACCGCTTCAAGTGAAAAATATTGCATTTTGTTTCAATTTTACATATTATTATAACAATTATAAATGAACAGTTTTAAATACCATTTTAACTATTAAATGTTGCAAAGATTGAATGACATCCTGATTGTTGCAAGTGGCAATTTTACAGGGTAGTAACTTTTGCATGGCATCCTAATTGTTGCAAGTGGCAATTTTAACATGGCAGTAACTTTTGCATTGCACCCTAATTGTTTCAAGTGGCAATTTTACATGGCAGTAACTTTTGCATTGCACCCTAATTGTTTCAAGTGGCAATTTTACATTGCAGTAACTAATGCAATACATCCTGATTGTTTCAAGTGGACATTTTACAGGGTAGTAACTTTTGCATGGCATCCTAATTGTTGCAAGTGGAAATTTTACAGAGTAGTAACTTTTGCATGGCATCCTCATTGTTTCAAGTGGCAATTTTACAGGGTAGTAACTTTTGCATGGCATCCTAATTGTTTCAAGTGGCAATTTTAAAGGGTAGTAACTTTTGCATGGCATCCTAATTGTTTCAAGCGGCAATTTTACATGGCATTGCATCCTTATTGTTGCAAGTGGCAATTTTACAGGGTAGTAACTTTTGCATGGCATCCTAATTGTTGCAAGTGGCAATTTTACAGGGTAGTTACTTTTGCATTGCATCCTAATTGTTGCAAGTGTCAATTTCTCAGGGTAGTAACTTTTGCATGACATCCTAATTGTTGCTAGTGGCAATTTTACAGGGTAGTAACTTTTGCATGGCGTCCTAATTGTTTTGAGTGGTCATATTTACTTGGATGCTAAATAGGTCAACTGGTAGTAATTTAACAGAGCAGGTTAACTTTGTGGTAACGAATTTACGAGGCTACCTAACTTATCTAGAGGCTGCAAATTTACAAACAATCCTATCTATTTCAAACAGTTGCACATTTACTATCAGACTATGTATATTTTCAAGTGGTAATTATACGATATAACATACTATATCGTTTCAAGTGGTAATTGTTTACGAAGTATGCTAACTTTTTCAAATGGTAATTGTTCACATGGTAAACTGAATGTTTCGGTTGTTTATTATTACAAAGCATACGGACTATTTAAAGGGGCAAATGGTTTCTACTTCAAACAGTAATTGTTTACAGAGCACGACTATTTTAATTGGTAATTGTTGTCATAGTGAGCCAACTATTTCAAATGCTTGCAAATTTACATATCATGCTTACTTTTAAATTGCAGCATGCTAACAATTTCAAGTGCTTACAAATTTACATTGCATTCAAAATGTTTCAAGCGGTTGTTATATTCGTATATACATTATGCATATATACATTATTGTCACGTTTAAAATATTGGATGGTTCCTCAAATTGATTGGAGTTTATACTTATAACTACAATGCAATTTCATTTTACTTCCTTAGAAAGAGATTGGGGTCTCTAAATTAAGGTAAATACTTCAATAATCACATAGATTACCATGCACTCCGTTGGCTAATGTGAATTAAATCCTCATTTTTCTTGTCACATGCGATATTTGATTCTTGTTCATATTGATTTATAATCTGATAAAAGATAACATGCTAAACCATGTTTTTTCAACCATCATACTTCTGCCAAGTCTGTAATAAATATTTACCCGCTTTAATAACATTCAACTGAAGTAAAGTTCTTTTTTTAACAAACAGACAGACATAAGTATTTATTTAACCGCGCTTATCCTTTACAAAATTTTTGTAATACATTTTATTAAGTTATTTGGCATAGTTTTATGATAAGATAGCATTCAATTGAACTTTTCTTTGATAAATTGTAAACAAATGGGGACAACTCTTATAAGATACTTAATAAGGTCATATCAAATTATTTCCCTTTATTTAAAACTTGTTACACGAAAAACACCCCGTTTCCCCATTTTTTTCGTAATTATATCCTGCTATTCAGGACCAACTTATCTAACTTATCACAAAAAACATAAGCGCTGGACCAGCGATTTTCGTACTATACGTACATATGTGAATTTGTAGTTGCGTTTTCAAGCGCATGTATTGAAGAGTTACGTCAACATTGAAGAAACTTTAAGTTAACTTTTACACTGCACACTGTCTTAGATCTATATGATGTATATTTTTCCATCATTGTGATACCTATAAGTAAAAAAAAGTTGTCTGCCTGCCTGTCTATTTGTCTATCATAATACTTCAAATATGTACATATATACACATTGCTATTTTTAATGTTTAAGGATGGAGAGACGCCCCTGCACGAGGCAGTCAAGACCCAGACGATGGATGTGATTGAAAACCTGATAGATCTAGGCATGTCGCCTGTTTGTAAAAATAAAAGGGTACATGCAATAGATATTTTATATACCGATTAAAACAACAACAACAAGAACTATTTCAATCTCCTACGTAGTGATCTCCCCTTACAGGATTAGATCTTTTCTTTTTTTCGTCAAGATTTTAAACGATATGAAATTTTTCAATTTTTATATCTATTTTAAAAAGTAAACACGGTTTTGCTAATGTTTCAAGACCGATAGGTGTTAGATGTGAACTAAAATAAAAAATAATTTTGGAAACATAAATATAATGAAAATAATTTTTAAAAATTTTTATACCGCACCGCTTATTTCCAAAACAATGACCCTTCTCGAAAGAGAAATCAAGTAATTAATATGAAAAAGGCAAAGGCTCAAAGCGAGCTCGGTTTACTTTTATCGTGAAATAGTATAACATAATCGTTCATTTTTACTTTACATTTTCCGTTTTAAAATTGTCATTCGGTATTTTATACACTGCTTCCGTTTATTCTGGTTCCCTGTCCAATTATGGTTCCCATAGAAGTGCGCGGGTGACCAGTCTACACATCCGTTTTCAGTCAGAATTCCTCAGTTTTTATCGTTATTTTTAAATTCGAAAAGTTGCGATGTGTCAATTCACATCACTTAGCAGGTACTCGCGTTACCGTAAAGCTCGCATAGCGAGCAGGCCCCTCTTCGAGCTCGCTATTAATTTCGACCCTACGCTTTACAAAAATCAATTTTTTTTCAATCATATCGACATATTTGAGACCAGAGTTCAAGTTTTAATGTCGCTGTTTATTACAGATAAAACATTTTTTCAACGATTTCATTGGCGTATACGCCATTTTTACACAATCATGTGATAAGACCATCATCACGTGATTTGTGTGAAGGCAGTGGTTACTGGCCGTAGCGTAACTTGTACATATTTGTGACACATCTATCCCTTTTTGATTAAATATGATAATTGTAATAATCTTAAACAAAAATATTTGTATCAATCTTGACAACAACAACAACAACAACAACTATTATTATTATTATTATTATTATTATTATGATTATAAGAATAATAGTGATGATGATTATGATGATGATGATGTTGAAGTTGATGTTGTTGTTGTTGTTGATGATGATGATGATGATAATGATGATGATAATGATGCTGTTGTTGATGATGATGATAATGATGATGATGATGATGATGTAGTTGTTGTTGTTGTTGTTGTTGATGATGATGATGATTTCACGATTGACGGTTGTGACGATAATGAAAAATAATGAAGGAAATAATATAAATTTGTACAGAATAAAATAAAATAATAAAAAAAAACCAGTCCAAAATAACATTTTGAAATTTTTATAACAATTTGTCCATGTTATTGTTGCATTTTTATAATAAAATAATGTACTGCTTTTATAATTCTAGACTGGGGACACGCCACTGCACACTGCATTAAGTTACGGAGCTGTTGAGGCTATGGAAGGGTTACTAATCAAAGGTGCCAAGGCCAGTGCGACAAATAAGGTAACTGATTTGTATAATCGGAACATCTCGGCTATTAAGTTCCGAAGTTTGACGGAAAGGGCCGAGAAGATGCGAAAGTGATTTGTATACTCATGATTACTACATGGTACTGCTTCCGGAATAAAAACCGAAAGCAAAAAGTATTAAGAAGTGAAAAATAAGAGATAAGACCATCAGTATTTTCGGAATCGAAAATGGTGCTAGGGGGGCGTGAGAGATGTTGCACTTTTTCATTATCCCTCATGAAAACAGACTCAACGAATCTACAAATTTCATGTATTTTTGTGATTAGTACTTCCGAGGGATCACTTTTTCTATGATTTTGTTTATCACAGTGCCATGCGCCAGCTGTATAAAGTTGTCCAGTACTTTACTTCAGTGTTGTTATATTTTTTGGGCCTTCAGGATCATCGATTCCAAAACATTTCAGTGTTAAAAATTGAATACCGCTCAAGCCGGTGCTATGGGCGTGAGTGTTGTTGCACTTTTTCATTACCCCTCATGAAAAGACTCAATCAAACCGAGTCTGCATTTTTCATGTACTTTTTTGTGATTAATGCTTCCGAGGGATTACTCTTTATAAGTTTAATGCTTTCTTCATCATCGAGCTAAAATGAATATGTTTAAACTATAATGTCAAACCGGAAGTAGACTTTCCAACACAAAGCTATCGAAAATGTATAAATATATCATATTCCTTTTTTGTATAATAGGAGCCATTTTTTCCTTTATTACAGGAGGGAAAAAGACCGGATGACGTGGCAAAGAACGTGGCCATTAAAGAAAGCCTCCGGATGTACGCTACCATGCTGATTGCAATGAGTTCTGGGTAAACATCTTATCTGAAAATCTGATCAGTAATCAAAGTGCTGAAAGCACTGAGTGCGACGGAAACTCTAAAACAATCTATAATATAATCATTATGAAAAATTTGTTCCTGTTGCTCATGGTTAAGACTTCACGAAGTATATGGAGAGCTGTTCTACTCACGACGACGTCGGCCTTCGTGTTAAAATTTTTGTTTAGTAGATTTTTTTATTATTAATTCTTTATTTCTTAAAGTATCAGATTCAAACTTCAAATATATATTCCTTATCATGAGCAACATTATAATATTTTTGTGACAAGGTTTATTACTCTAGAAGCAATATTTCCAATATTATCTCCCTTTGAACCTAGAATTTTTCTATAAAATATGTCATGTCTCTACTTATTTCACAAGGGATCTACTGCAGCCTCCAAATTAATATATGTTCCTTATCATCACCCACATTATGTGTAACAAGATTCACAACTCATGCATGGACATTTGTAGAAATGTTCTCCCTTGAAGTTAGGAATTTTCTAAAGTTTTTTTTACTCTAACTTCTTGTTTTCTTCTTATTTACTTACTTTAAAATGTTACATACTGTTTGCTCTTATAATTTTTGTTACTGAAGGGATTGACTTCAGATTTCAAGTTGTAGTCTTTTCCATATTAGAGCATAGAAATGTCTGTTTAACTTTTATTGAAATGGTTACATGTGGTGAAAAAATGTTGTACATTTAAATGTTCTCTATCGGAGTACTTCGGTGCGTGGAAAAATAGCATATAAATCGTATCTTAACAAAAACTTATGATTCAATAATATACATTGTAATATATATATCTTATATAGTTAGGTTTTTCTCTTTACGAACATGTTTGTGACATATCCTTACATTAATATACATATATGGTTTATAATGACACAATCTATGTTATATTTACTTTGGTGTTATTTGTGATTATGGTAGTTCAGTTCGATGTAATGTACGTAAAAAAGCTTCTGGGTGCGCCTTTAATGTCGGTATTTGTAATATTAATAAATCGAAGACAGTATTAAAGCCATATTGCAATTGTATTATATCAACATTGTAGGATTTATATACGGCAAGGTTTTGCTGAAATGATTTTGCTTTATATTTGATGATCTTCATCACTTTTATAATGTATTTAATTTATTCTTTAATCTTCTTTTAACGAAAAGATACATTAAAGCGAAGGGAATGAAAATTTCACACCGCAACGTGTCGCAGCCACTTACAATAGAACGTGTAGGCGTTATCATAGAAAACATTGACATTCCTAGAGAATTTCCAACAGGATTTTACTGTCGGCGGGAGAAAGTAGAAAACGCAACCGTGAAATTAAAGAAATACGAGGAGGAGTCTGTTTTCAGTGACGTTTTCCATATAAGGATTTTTGAAACAAACAGAGACTGTAAAACAACAATGTATCTCCCCGTGTTTAAAGCGCCATCTGAGAAAGAACAGCTGGTGATACATTTTATAAACGTAGCAGAGGAAGACATGGTGGTCGACAACGCTACGGTTAGAAACCAGGTAAACTATTAGTCCTTGTCGTAATGATAGGAATTGTCACATAATATTCTTATGTAAAACATGTCCTTTTTTTTGGTTAAATTCGTCCCATAACAAATTGTTATCATCATATAAGCAATGCAGAAAACGTTAGAATATTGCAAAGATTACACATCTGTTTACTTTTCGTTTTGTAAATATTGCTGTGTTAAAAGATCCAGCCAATTACACAATCAAGTTTTTACAAATATTAATCAAATGAATTACATGTATATGTGTTATATTTATCATCAATGTGATACAATGACACTTCAAACATGATTAAAGGGACACCACTGAGGGTTTTTTTATGATCCGAAATTTAAATAATTCACAACGCTTTTCCCTCAAATCAGTCGAAGAATAGCACAAAAAATGCAATTTTTATTTTTCTGTTACTCTTCTTCATAATTGTCTTTTGCATATTTTTCTGTGGCCTAGCTGATATATGTAAAAAAAAAAAACACATTCAATTTTTATGTTTAAGGCGTTTGGACCTCAGTGGAATTTCTTTAACTGGATGATACATTCGAATACAACTATAGTAAGGTTGATTATAATACCCTACCTTTCAGCATATTTTAGGAAAAAAAGCGAGGAACAAATTAATCTAAGTATCTTTACTAGAATGTCTAAAATGTCTTGTTAACCATCAATTTTCCCGCGAAGACAATTTTTTTATTTTATGAAAAACTATTTTTTAGATTTTCTGCGAAAATCGACAGTTTTGTCCGGAAACAACGGCTGTTTTTTCTTTTTTTTTTTTTTTTTTTTTTTTTTTTTTTTTTTTTTTTTTTTTTTTTTTTTTTTTTTTTTTTTTTTTTTTTTTTTTTTTTTTTTTTTTTTTTAGAGTAAAACATAAACAAAGAGGAACGACAAACACAATCACAAACGAGGGAGCGCTTATACATTCGGAGATGAAAAAGACTTCTCCCTTGAATTCCACAAATTCGTTTGAGGGAAACCGTTTATAAAGCTTGACGGTGAAACACTAATACATAATCTACGTCATAATTTAAATCTTGAGTTAACAAATATTATGAATATTATTAATATCATTAAAATTGATTTGATAGTTGGAAAGCAGCAAAATTGTGTGACCCTACTGGAATACACTAGTCAGTTAAATGACAACCACATTTTCAGAATGGACATAACAACCCGTGTCAGCCGATAAACTTATTAATAAATAAATACACATTTTATGTTTAAGGTTTCGAACAAACGCAGACGAATTTTGCAGACGAGGAGGAAGCCAATGAAGCTCCCGATCACCAGTCCAGAAAAAGAAGAAGAAGTATGGAAAACGAAAAAAGTCTGACCGATGAGTCAAATCTGTTCAAAGGAATGAACCGGACAACATAACCCAAATGGAAACTGGACAGAAATCATCTATCCAGCAGTGTAGCAACAGATTCTGGTGTAGAAAAC